TTTGAGGGCCCCTAAACCGGCCTCAGGGGCCCAACCGGCCTCTGGTGGCCTCATTTCTGTCTCTCGAGTCCCAAGACTAACCTTTAAGTGTCTCTGAGGGCCCCGCACTGGATTCTGAAGACCCGATGTCGGCCTCTGAGAGCCCGCACCGGCCTCTGGGGCCCATCTTGGCCGTTGAGGGCCCTCCGCTGGTCTCTGGGGTCCAACGCCGGCCCATGCCGGCCTTTTAGGGCCCCACACTGACCTCTAAGGGCCCCATGCTGGTCTGTAAGGACCCACATTAGCCTCTAAGGGCCCCCCGCACTGGATTCTGAAGACCCAATGCCGGCCGCTCAGGGCCCGCATCGGCGTCTGAGGGCCCATCTTGGCCTTTGAGGGCCCTCCGCTGGCCTCTGGGGTCCAACGCCGGCCCATACCGGTCTTTTAGGGCCCCACATTGACCTGAGGGCCCCATGCTGGCCTGTAAGGACACACATTAGCCTCTATGGGCCCCGCACTGGATTCTGAAGACCCGATGCCGGCCTCTAAGGGTTCGCATCGGACTCTGAGGGCCCATCTTGGCCTTTGAGGGCCCTCTGCTGGCCTCTGGGGTCCAACGCCGGCCAATGCAAGTCTTTTAGGGTCCCATTCTGACCTTTGAGGGCCCCATGCTGGCCTGTAAAGGCCCACATTAGCCTCTGAGGGCCCTGCACGGGCTTCTGAAGACCTGATGCCGGCCTCTAAGGGCCCGCATCGGCCTCTGAGGGCCCATCTTGGCCTTTGAGGGCCCTCTACTGGCCTCTGGGGTCCAACGCCGGCCCATGTCGGTCTTTTATGGCCCCACGCTAACCTCTGAGGGCTCCATGCTGGCCTGTAAAGACCCACATAAGATTAGCCTCTGAGTGCCCAATTCGGTCTCTGAGGGCCCTAAACTGGCCCCTAAGGGCCCAAACCAGCCTCTAAAGGTCCCACACCGGCCTCTGATGGTCCCATTTTTGTCTCTGGGACCCAAACTGACCCTTATGTGCCTCTGAGGGCCCCGTACTGGCTTCTGAAGGATCGATGCCGGTTTCTGAGGATCCATAACGGTCTTTAAGTGCCTCATACTGACACCTGAGGCCCCACACTAGCCTCTGAGAGGGCCCAAAACTGGCCTATGAGGTCTCTACACCGGCCACTGATGGCCCTATTATGTTCTCTGGGGGCTCAAGCCTTACCTTTGGACGTCACGCACTTGCCTCTGAAGGGCCACATCAGCCTCTGGGGCCCTACCTGGGGCCTTTGAGGCCCTTCGCTGACCCTTGGATCCAACGCCGGCCTCTTGGGGGTCTGACACCGTACTATAAGGGCCCCATTGCAGCCTCTAGGCGATAGGTATCGCTGAAGCGCTATCGATGGGCCGATAAGTGTAGGAACCATGGGTGCAGTGGGCGCAGTTGCACCAACAATAATTCTGCATAGGGTGCAGACAATGTATTCTGCATCTACAATAATCTGGAACAAACCCCCTTTTCTCAGCAACACTACTTTCCATGCAGCACGACAAATTTAGGATATTTTGCCCACTATCCATCTTTCGAAGCATTTGCTACTGTAATGGTCTTCAAAACTTACATTTGTGCTCAAGTACCTAAAAAACAAAAATGAAACGGAACACGTGTGATTGAACAGTGAACCAGTGAACAGATACCGATGACCCACTGTCAAAAGTTTTAGCACGATGATCTCAGAAAATGGCAAAGTTAGCCGTCTTTGCTTTTGCGGTAGTCCATTCACATTTGCGTGAGTTATTGGCTTTATCAATGCTTTAAAATGCACTTATCGGTACCTTTTCGACATGGAACATCCTCAAAGCTCGCAATGAGCCTCCGCTCGGGTGCCGCTCCCTACCCCCCCCCCCCCCGCTTCACCGGCCATGGCCTGGATTTCTGCACCCGTGCACTACGCCCGTGGGCCCCTTTAAGCTAGCACCGGGCCCCCCGGGTCAGCGCAGGGGCCCCTTTGCCAAGTTGCCCCCCCCCCCAAACTCCAAGTCTGCGACCGCCCCTGGTCGAATATGGTTAACCCGAGTCTCTGCTTCGACATCCAACTCCACTGTAGGTTAGGTAGGTACTTAGCCAGTAGCCTAGTCTCAACATCGTTGCATCCTACCTCCATACCGGTCTCCCTTCCCTTCTGAGAAACCTGCGTCAGTGTTCGCCGCTCAATTTCTTCAAAGTTGTTCTCTGTCCCATAGCCAGTCCGTCACGCGGCCGCCGGTCGCTACCGTCTTCCGCTTGCCCGTCACAGTAGGTACTAACTAGGTACCCCACACGGGCCTCTCCTACCGCTGACTTCCTGCAGACAGACGGCGAGAGACAAACTCGTCCTGGCGCCAGTGAAGTGATGAGTGTCGTCTTGTTAGGGCTAGGAAGATGCAATCGGTGATGATTTTTGCGTCACTATTCCGATTGCCTCCGTGTTCTTACACGGTACAAATGTAATAGCGTTATTGCTGTTGCAAGGGTGGCAGCGTAGAACGTCATGTTTTGTTGAACAAGATAGGCGTTTTTAAGAAATGTGATCATGTATTTTCCAACATGACGTTCCTTGTATCACGGCCTACTTGTCAGCCGTCTCGTTCATTGTAATGTCAATTGTTTACTGCCGGGGTGATTCGCGCCTTTGTTATTCTGCACGGTGATTGAGCGCTGACGACACAAACTTAGAGGACAGATGCACGAAATTTGGAACCAGTAATTCTGTAAAACAATAGCTGATTAAACGTCGCGGATCTTATGACAGAAAGTCACGACTGAAGTAGCGACTACAATCCTACAGAGGCACAAACTTTGTTGAAGACCACGTTTCGCTTTGTCCGCCAAGACTGTTCGTGAATGGATTTTGCGACATTCGTGTTGACAATGCTGTCCTGGCGAACCGACTTGCCGCGTGTCGGCGGGTAGAACGTCTTGCCGAACTTGTTGACGACGTTCTGCGGGTAGGGCGAGCGCATTCCGTACACGTCCGCCTTGTACTCGGGGAACTTGCTGAGACAGCCGGCCTTGCAGCCGCCGTCCTTTTTGGCCGGTCCCGCCGGCCGGAAGGCCACCTTGGGGCTGGCCGGGATGCGGCGCATTTCGTACGTCCTTCCCACGCTGGTGGGCACGTACGGGTCCGGCCCGAAGTACGTGAGCGGGTAGTTGTTGAGGCGCAGCGGCCCGTTCAGCATGGCCTTGCGGTGCTGGGCGCGCGTCTGCTGCTCGAGGCGGCGCTGCTCGGCGTACGGCTCGTTGGAGTGCTCCGGGTAGTGGTTCAGCGCCACGCCGGCGTACCCGTACCCGGTGCCCTTCTTGGACGGGTTGGTGAGCACGTTCGGCGGCTCGTGGCTCAAAAGTCCGCGGCTGCGCTCCATCGGGTCCATGGCTGGCATGTGACCGATGAAGGTGCCATAGTAGGAGCCGACGCCGTTCGGGTCCTTGGCATGGTTGGGCGGCATCCAGTCGCGCGCGCCAACCTGCGTACCGCGCCCCTTTACGCGCCGGTCCATCAGTTTGTCGGTGGTGTAGGCACTGGCCCATGACTCACCGGCAAAGCAGCGGTTGAACGTGCTGGCAAAGTAGCCGTCCTGGTTGGCTGCCCTTTCTTTGGAGCCACCAGGCAGCATCTGCAGCCCTCGACTGGCCTGATCGTTGAAGGCCTTGTTGTAGTTTGTGATGCCCCATCCGCCAGTGTGGAGGTAGCCCATTTCTTTGAACAGGCCCACCCGATCCTGACAAGTTCGCTCCGCCATTTTTTTAGAGTTTGACTTGTGCAGGAACTATGCTAGATACAGACTCAATTTAGATACTCATTAGATGTAGCTGTAGATATCACTGTAGATAGTCGATTGCTATTTTATATGTTGTTTGCGAAAGACTTGCAATGCTGAAAATGATCGATTGAGATTACTGCTAATTTATTTTGGTCAGATGGCATATATACCGAGAATTCCTGTTCATAACTGATGTTTTATTTTCTTGTGTTCCTTTTTATTTCACTCTTTGAAAGGGCGTGCAATGTTGTTAAAGTGATCTTTCAACAGCTAAGGTTAAATCGGTTGCATAATTTTTTAGACGCAGGCCGTCTTTGTGTCAGAAAATCGAATTTGGTTTAGTGTTCCTCTTCTGCTGAGTGGCTGGGAGTAAGACGTTGACATTAAACATTCCATTGAGGGGTGCTTAAAGTTGCATAATTTGACCTGCACTCCTGCGTCGCCAGCTAACCGACTGGCACTCACTGAAGTTCCGATATCCCAAGCAGTTTTATTTTATGTAATTAAGTCTTCTTTTTTGTCCAGTGTTTATTTTCCCTGCCCATTTGTTTAAACGGCTTTTAAACAAGTCAATGCACGGAACAATGAATGAATGAATGAATGAATGAATGAATCTATTTATTTTTGATTGATTAATGCAAAGTGAACCGTTTTGTTACTTGGTAAACGCTTAACAATATTTGAAAACGCGATACGAATATGCTCGCGAAATCGCCAACCTTAGCTGTGCGATCGACGGCACCGTTTACCGCTCCGGTCGCAGCGGCACCTCGCCTCATTTGTTTGCCGACTTCTGACTAAAGCCGCACTCTGGCGCCGGCAAGGCCATGGCGTCGGTAAAATGAGCTGTTTGGCGCCGTTTCAGGGGCGTCATACGGGCTCAGATACAGCACATCTGTTTTAGTTTTTCGACCGCAGCGTAGAGCTCGCGTGTTATGGCACAGTGGTCGATTGTCACCATATTTGTGAAACGGAAGGAAGTGGAACATGCTAATAAAACATGGTACAAAACGTTGGATCGGGGAAACCAGCTGCATTGTTTTGCCTCGTTTGTCCAAGCGGGTGAATAGCTTTGTGTAGCTGTGACCTCGACCGTGATTGGGTCCTTTGTCTTTGACGCGACTTTGGTGTGACTGCGACATGTGTTATGTCTGTGATATACATATATTGGGCCCCGTAGTTTGATGTTACGCGCCTCTGGTGTGACTGAGCCCCGCGCCTGTTTCAGACGGGTCACATCCGCACGTCAGAGAGCAACTATCTCATCTGGCCGTCCGACAAAGAGGCGGACGATCCGGACGAACACGTCATTCAAATGTTTCCCGGCTCCGAGTCGCACACAGGTCAGTTCAGCCAGTCCCGGAACCAGTTCTGCTTTACGACGAATAACAATTGTCCTCGCCTGAGAGCGTTGAACTTGGAAACTGGCTCTGTATCGGGCCGTCAGTCAGATACGTCAATGAGATGGCTGGTGTATTTTTTTGAGCAGCGAACTATCAATCTGATCATTATTTTCAGTCAAGTGATTTTCAATAGTGAGTTTGTGCAAGTTATCGAGGACGGTTTTTCCACTCTCCGCTTAGGGCAAGCATAACCAACAACTGCAAATCGGACCATAAGTAATGAGTCATGACCTTATAGGGTCGTCCGGAATCGTGCCAATTTTCATAAACGGCACGCGAGACGATTTTCAATGAGTGTCCGTTCTCGAAGCAGGGGCTTCCATCTTTCACCAGTGCCACCTGCGTGCTGCGAGACCAGGTGATCTATGACTGTCCGACGCTGGCGCCGTCCCGGCACCCCCCCCCCCCCCCCGGCCCCACGGCGCCGCCACGCAGTCTCCTCGGCTGCCACTGCGTGACACGCGGCCCCTGCGGCCCGCCTCCGCCGCGCACGCACTGCGTGGAAAGCTGGTCAAGGCCGACGTGGCCGGCGGCGACTGCCTTCACTCTCCAGTGAGATCTATCTAAAACGAAACGGGCCGTGCGCTTCTGAGATGACAACTTCGCGTCGAGCCAAGGCTGATGGCTGCGCCTGCGGCTGGCAGCTGTCGCCTGTCGATGAGGTACTTTGCCCTCCCCCTCTGTCCAGCCTTATTCAGCCGTGCCCTGGCCGTCTTGAAGCTGAATGGGCTCGAAGGCCAGCGTCATCTTTCTTTGTCCGGGCCTAAAGGCGGCAGTTGTATTTGGACCGAATAGTAAACTGATAGTAAACTGACCATGGAAGCGAGTATTCAGTGGGCCCTGCTCTGGCTAATGAATGAAAATGACGTGGCCGTCACGGCTGAGCGGCTATATCAAAACATAGATGGCTCATTCAGTTCGCAACTAATTGTGCTCGTAGACTGAAACGACTGAGTGTCCAGTGTATTTTCTCTGGTCAGAACCGAAAGTTATCACGTCTTGGACTTGGCGATAGGTAATACTTCATAGAATCTTGCGAGATGCCGTTTCTTCTGTGAACATTGCGGTCGCGCATTCCAGCACGTATTGACGGTGCTCTGTTTGTGGTGCAGCCGCCGCCTGACCCGGCTCCTGAGGCGGGGACGGTGCCGCACTGCGCCCGTCGCTCACTGACACACTGCCCGCGGGTGTTGGGCCACAGCGACACCGTGCGTGGGCTAGCGGTACCTACATTGACATGACGCCGGTGTGTTTCCTGTGTTGTGCGCTATTTGAGGGTCTTAGCGGCGCTGCCGTGACCTACAGGGCCCGTCTCTCACGCTCACACCAGCCGTGGGTCATTGGACAGCATAGTTCTGCTGATGGTGATGCTGTCTGGATACGGAGAAGTGCAGCCGGGTTCCCTCCATGGAGTGCAGACAGGCTCGCCCCGCGTCTGGCACGACTGCTTGAGGCAGTGGTCGTTCGACCTCTGCTGCTGATATGCCTCAGTTATTGGCTGTACGGGCGGAGAGAAAGGAGCCCGGCTCCCTGCACCACCCACGGGCGGTATCGGCGCCCCGGCTGACCAGCGGACGTTGCAACACATAGGGCCGGCAGCGCATACCGCCGAACTGAACCGCTGAAATACCGCTCTATCGCCTGACTGAACTGCTGACCAGCCACCCCACTACACCTGACTGAACCACTTAGCCACCGACACACTGCACCTGACTGAAATGCTGTGCTACTGCTCAACTTGCTGAACCACTGCCCGATCTGAACTGCAAAACCACCCATACACTTCACAGAGTTCATCGAGCCGCCGGCTGTGACCTCTGTGACCTCCCTGTGACCTCTGTGACCGTTCTGCCTCCAGCGCCAACTGTTACATCTGCGACCTCCATGACTTCTATGACCCGACGGTAACCTCTGTGACCTCTGGTTTGTACCCACGTGACGTCTGTGACCCGTCTATGACCTCTCTGTGACCGTTCTACCTCCAGGGCCGACCGAGCCGCCTGTTGTAACATCTGTTACTTCTGTGTGACTTCTGTATGACCTCTGGTACAGTCATAGGTGTAGGAACGTTTTCGAAAGTGGGGGGGGGGGGGCAGGCTCCCAGAGGCACAAAACCTCACCTACCCCCAAAATCCATTTTCTCCTCGGATTTCGGCCACTTTATTTTCGCAAGCATGCTCAAATTGGTTTAAAAAAAAACGTGACAAGAAAAAAAAATTGACCACAATCTCGGGGAGACTCCCGTCCAGAAATTAAATCTCATGGACGCGTTCCCCTGGCCTCCGCAGCCGCGTTGGCATCAAGGATCGGATCCAGGAAAGCTCCAAGGGGAGGGTCATGAATCGAAGTAGTGCCCCTACCTATACCCAATTAAAACCTCAACTGATTTCGGCCACTTAATTTTGGTGGTGCCCTATTTTCATTTTTTATTTATTTGTTTTTGCCCTGGCAGGCCTGTGGTGCCCCTGGCGGGCCTGTGGTGCCCCTGCTAGGCCGCAGGTGCCCCTGGCAGGTTTGTGGTGCCCCTGGAAGAACTGTGGTGCTCCTTACGAGTCTGAAGTGCCAGCGACAGGCCCATGGTGCCTCTGCGAGGCCGGTGGTGCCCCTGCGAGGCCGTGGTGCCCCTGCTAGGCCGCTGGTGCCCCTGGGCCCTGACAGGATTGTGGTGCTCCTGACAAGCCTGAAGTGTCCCCGACAGGCACGTGATGCCCCTGACAGTCCCAAGGTGCCCCTGCGAGGCCAGTGGGTGCCCCTGGCAAGCCTGTGGTGCCCCTGGCAAGCCTGTGGTGCCCCTGGCAGGTCTGTGGTGTCCCTGGCAGACCTGTGGTGCCCCTGCTAGGCTTCTGGTGCCCCTGACAGGCCTGTGGTGCTCCTGAAAGGACTGTGGTGCCCCTGGGCCCTGACAAGCCTGAGGTGCCCCTGACAGGTCCGTGGTGCCCTTGACAGGCCCAAGGTGCCCCTGCGAGGCCGGTGGTGCCCCTGCGAGGCCGGTGGTGCCCCTGGAAGGGCCTTTGGTGCCCCTGGAAGACCTGTGGTGCCCTTGACAGGTCTGTGGTGCCCCTGGCAGAACAGTGGTGCTCTTGCTAGGCCGATGGTGCTCCTGACAGGCCGGTGGTGCCCCTGTCAGGTCTGTGGTGCCCCTGATAGGTCGGTGGTGCCCCTGGTAGGCCTGTGGTGCCCCCGGGCCCCAAGGGGGCATGACCCATGTGACCCCACCTTGGATCCGCCACTGGTTGGCACCCATGCGAATTCCAGAAGCATCCAAAGACCAAAAACATTTTTTATTACGAGCGAGCGTGAAACGTGAGAAGTGAAAATTCAGCAAAAGGTGTGTGTGTGTGTGTGGGGGGGGGGGCAGTTAACATTGCTGGCCCCCATTCGAAAGTAGGGGACCATTGCCCCTGCCCCCCTGTTCCTACGCCTATGCCAGTAACCGATCAACTAATGCAAGGCTGCCTAACATAACTTGCTAGTTTACGCCGTTTACGCATTCTGCTGCGCCAGTATTGTCTCTCTTTGCAGCGTGCGCTGCCCCTAAGCTGCCACTTATTGCTTCTGACAAAGTTACCTTTCATTGGGTGGAGGAAAATTGCACTCAATAACGATGAAGCACAAATGGAAATCTTCATGGAAGGGCAGGCCAGAGAACCGTCAAGTTTGTTCTTCGGGGTGATGCCTACAAATACATTAAAAAGTTCTGCAAAAAGTGGGGGGCCAGTTAACATTACTGCCCCCCCCCCACTATGAAAAGTGGGGAGGGCCACCGGCCCCCCGTCCCCCCTGTTCCTACACCTATGGGTATAGTCGACTACAGAATGATGTTCCACTTTTCACAGGCAATTATTTGCCTGGAGTGGTAGGCTGTGCCGCATCACACGGGCTGAGTTCACAAATTATATCTTTGTCCCAATGATCACAATCGACACGCTTAATTGCGTGATAAACGGCACAACTTAGCGCTCCGGTCAACTGATAGCTTCTGAGGAGTGGAACATCATTCTGTAGTCGACCCTCTGTGACCTCCGTGGACGCTGTTCCTCCAGCGCCGACCAAACCGCCGGCTGTGACCTGCGTGACCCGTATGACCCGACTCTGACCTATAGGTGACCTCTGTGACCTATAAGACTCTTGTAACCCCTTTGACCTCTGACCCCTGACACATATTGTGACCTCTGTGACCTGTGTGACTCTTGTGACCCTTGTAACGTCTGATCTCTGTGACCTATTTGTGACCTCTATGACCCAACTGTGACCTCTGTTCCCTGTGACCTATCTGTGACCTCTCTGACCTGACTGTGACCTCTAATACCGTCGTTCCCCCAGCGCCGACCGCAGCGCCCGAGGAGGAGGACTCTGACGAGCAAGGCCGCCGGCGCCGCTCCACCAGTCACGCCCACCACATGGAGGTGATGGTGGCTGCCGACGCGCGGATGGCCGACTACCACGGCGATCAGCTGGAGCAGTACATCCTCACGCTCATGTCCATAGTGAGTGAACGCGTCTGTGCCCCGCTGGCATAGTGCAGGCTGATCAGATTCAGTTCTTCAAGCTACCCGTTTCTCCTAAGTAGCCACCCATTTTATGCTGTGAGCAAAATAATCAGTACCTACGGTGGTGGATTTTGCAAACCGAACCTCAGTTCATCGAGCATGCAGTTGGGCTCCACTTGGAATGTCATTACTTTCATGTGAGATGCCAATTTTAGATGTTGGTCTCCAATTTTTGGTTAGCAGCTACGATAATTTGGTTGTGTTTTTTATTTGTCATGTACGACGATGCTTTCTTTCAAATATACCTACGCTAAGTTTTCTGTAGCAAGCTAAGTTGCAAAGTTGTCGACGAATCTGCGCTTTCCACCTGTCAGCCGCAGCCGTTTATTTTTGCCCACCATCGCTGTATCAGCCGGCTCGCTTAGGTGGCCACTGTTCAGTGTCGCTTTAGTACGCAGCGTCGTTGTATCGGCCTTCTCGCTTGGTCACAATAACGGCCCGATGGCTGCGCTCAATGTGGCTATATCTGCAATCTACCGTTCAGCTGCCCTACCTTCTCTCTCAGGTGGCCCTGATCTACAAGGACCCGAGCATCGGCAACTCTGTGACAGTGTCGCTGGGCCGGATCATTCGGCTGGAGGACGACCTTCTGGAGGAGGAGGTGGAGGCGGAGGAGGACGGCAGCAAATCCAGCGGCAAGTCCGCGTCGGCACTGCTCCACAAGTGGGTGCTAGACTTTGGATCCAGTCCGTCACGGACGACCACCAGACAAGCATAAAAACCAAAGTAAACCAGAGAGTCCAACATTTGGGAACAAAGTTTGCATGTCATGTAAACGTGTACTTGTCGTTGACGTTTTGTAAAAGTCAGTGTGAAGCGATATGAAACTCGTGTTACTCCGGGTGTCTGTCAGTGACCGGAAACTGTAATTTTGTCCTCAGTTTCTGTAAGTGGCAGCAGAAACATGCTGTTGAAGAGAAGTCGAGTTCGGGGTATTACGACACTGCCGTCCTCCTAACGAGGTGGGTGAGATCAAGATTCTTACATATAGGTGAGACTTCAGAAGCTCGGTATGAAGACCACCCACAGCTCTCTGTTCAGCTCTCACTCACTGTGTAGCTGGACATCTGTCCTGTGCTTGGTGTGGAGCGATGTAATCTGCCGCGTACAGTCTGCCAAACCGGATTTTGCCTCATTTACAAGCGTGAATCTCTTCATTCTTCATGTAATATGAAGGGCGTCGGTCTGAAGGAATGGGCTCACGTCTTTGCATCTGATGTGATTTTCAGCTACAACGTTTGACCTGTATACTTTTTTCAAGGGATAAAAATATGTTGCAACCCACACATGCAGCATTGCGACCTGACCTCACCTGACCTGACTTGTGTTCCAGGGAGGACATCCGCCGTAACCCGCAGTGACAGCAGTGCGACCTACCTCACCTGACCTGACCTCTGTGTTCCAGGGAGGACATCCACCGTAACCCGCAGTGACAGCAGTGCGACCTTACCTCACCTGACCTGACCTCTGTGTTCCAGGGAGGACATTTGCCGTAACCCGCAGTGACAGCAGTGCGACCTGACCTGACCTGACCTGACCTGACCTCTGTGTTCTAGGGAGGACATTTGCCGTAACCCGCAGCGACAGCAGTGCGACCTGACCTCACCTGACCTGACCTGTGTTCCAGGGAGGACATTTGCCTTAACCCGCAGCGACAGCAGTGCGACCTGACCTCACCTGACCTGACCTGTGTTCTAGGGAGGACATCCGCCGTAGCCCGCAGTGACAGCAGTGCGACATGACCTGACCTGACCTGACCTGTGTTCCAGGGAGGACATTTGCCGTAACCCGCAGCGACAGCAGTGCGACCTGACCTCATCTGACCTGACCTGTGTTCCAGGGAGGACATTTGCCGTAACCCGCAGCGACAGCAGTGCGACCTGACCTCACCTGACCTGACCTGTGTTCTAGGGGGGACATTTGCCGTAACCCGCAGCGACAGCAGTGCGACCTGACCTGACCTCTGTGTTCCAGGGAGGACATTTGTCGTAACCCGCAGCGACAGCAGTGCGACATGACCTGACCTGACCTGACCTCTGTGTTCCAGGGAGGACATTTGCCGTAACCCGCAGCGACAGCAGTGCGACCTGACCTCACCTGACCTGACCTCTGTGTTCCAGGGAGGACATTTGCCGTAACCCGCAGCGACAGCAGTGCGACCTGGTCTCACCTGACCTGACCTGTGTTCTAGGGAGGATATTTGCCGTAACCCGCAGCGACAGCAGTGCGACACGCTCGGTCTTGCTGAGCTCGGCACCATGTGCGACTCGAAAGCCTCCTGTTCGATCATCCAGGACAACGGTCTGAGCGCGGCCTTCACGGTGGCCCACGAGCTTGGTCACGTGTGAGTACCTCCCCACTCCCCACACACACACAGAGGCACATTGCGTGTCGATTAGGTCAGACCAGCTAACGGTCATCGGGGTAGTCACCTGCATTTAGCGCGTCTGGTCTTAGTATATTGTGGCGTGACCTACTCCATTGAGGAACGTGCATGCCGTACGGAGAAATATTGGCCAAATTCTACTGAGGGGATGTGGGTGTAAGAAGCTAGGCGTCCGAGTATGTTTATGTATATGTGACCAGTGGGTATTTGCTTATTTGTTTGGTTACGTTATTGCTTACTTATGCTCATTGGTTACGTTATTGCTTACTTATGACCGGCATGCCGATCTGTCAGCTGACTGCGGTGCTGGTGACCACCTATTACAGACTCAACATTCCGCACGACGACGACTCCAAGTGTCAGCAGTACATGGGCTCGGAGAAGGTTCAGTTCGTCATGTCCAGGATGCTGGACCACAACACATTTCCGTGGTCGTGGTCCAAGTGCAGCCGCCACTACCTCACCGAGTACCTCGAGTGAGTGCAGCGCGCCCGCCGCCGTGCCACTCGCGCGCAGCCGGCGCCGGCGGACGCCGCGGGCTTTCGTGTTTATTTTCACTCGGGTTGATGACGGCTACTGTCGTTCTCTGCTTTCGGTCGCTCAACTGAGACGGATTCCATCAGTGTCGGCCGCTCCGTCAGTTGGTAGTCGTTCGTGCATTGACCGTATCGACTTCTGAACAGTGTCCAACCAAAGACCCCGAATAGGTCGACCGGGAGTGAAATCTTGAAGTCCAGGCTTCAGTCAATAGGACTAGGCTTCATGGGCTCCTGGGGTACCGAAAGACAGGGGTGTGACGTCGCGTCATTGAAGGGCCGTGGTTACGTATGTCATCCAGTACTGGTACTTCTTGGTATATTCCGTCACGGGGCTGCACGACCAACCTCCGATCCATTTCCGCGGTAAATGTACAAACAAACAGCATACGTAGCGCTTTCCACCCCGAGGGTGCGACCAACCCTCGAGCCATTCCGAATTTCCGCCCGAGTTGAACTTGGTGCCTCGCTTGTTCAGTATTATTGTATCACAAAGAAAAAGAGGCGAAACATTGCTCATTAATGTGTAAAATTTGTAGAGCAAGCTCGATTATAGTTCTGATATTTTTCATCCTTTGTGATATTTATGTTTCTATAATCAGGCTCAAAACCAAGATTACTATCAAGCATTAGCGTCGCCACGGGGGGGCAAGCGGGGCAGCTTGCCCCCCCCCCCCAACCTCGGACCGGGCACACCCTGAGATCGATACAGATCCGATGAGATTTTGGAGTCGGGAAAAAATGGGGGTACCTTTCTGAGAATGCCTGTGAGGTCAGACTAGGTTGGAGCGTGCAATTCAAACCAGAGTCTGACTCGCAGTCGCCAAAATCTTCAAGACTCCGAGTCCAGACTCGGAAATGTCAATGCTGTGATTCATTTCATGTTCCTAGTTCGTTCTTTATTACATTTTACAGCTGATTTTCATAAGTTTTGGAGTGCTGACACAATTTTCGTTCAAAGCGTGAAACGAAATCTTCGCGGGGCCTTCCTCAACTCTCGTCAAATGTCTGCGACAGGCTCAAGTACCGTACAAGTGTCGCAGGGCTCATGAGCTTGCTTTAAACAAAGGCTCCTAAGGAGCTCCACTGAGCCCTAAAGAAGCTTTCAGAGGGCCCAAACCGGCCTCTGAAAGTCCCACTGGTGTCCATGTTCTCTGAGGGCCCATACAGGGATCTTTGAGCCTTCGAACATTTCTGAGAACCTTAACTGGCCTCTGATAGTTCAGCCAAAACTTTTGAGGCGACAAACTTTGCTAACTCCAAGCCGGCATCTGAGGGGTCACAGCTCACGTGTCCCTCTGAGGACGTCCGCAATATTATGTCCCTACGTAGGGTCCTTAGGGATTCGACACAGACCCCGAGGGTTCACACTGTTATCCGAGGTCTCCAGGCTCACCCTGGGCCTAGTCTCTTAGCACCCGCCGCCCACACTGGCTTCTGAGGGCCCCACTTTGGGCTCGGAAAGCCCTAAAGCACCACGTACACGTAAATATTTGAGGTGACCCACGCCGATCTCCGGGATCCTAAGCATGCTTCTGAGAGTCAGCACTGACCCTGAGTGGCCTGAAATGGCCTGGAAGTCCCAAACCTATCTCTAAGAGATCCCTTGCCGCTATGCCGTGCGTAACTTTTGGTTCCGTTAAACAGTTTTTGTTCGCGTTTGCAGCGCTTCCCTTCACACGAAAAACGAGAAACTTTTGTTCACACTCGAGTGAACAAAACACTTTCTCTCACTGGAGCAAAGATGAAAAACTTCCAATTCACACTTCCGACATTCACTCTCCGCCGAATGCCCAACTTAGCTACGATCGGCGGCTGGGATAAGTCCTATGCATTTCACGTAAAACCTCTGCATGCATGCGTGAATGGAGGTTTTAGCAGGGTGATCCGATTAAATGGAGCGTTTTTCACCTTTTTCTGGGTAATGATCATGAGTGTCGAGCGTCTGCACAGGGACCCTCTGCAGTGCGTCGGTAATCGCAGCCACAATATACTATAATTCTACCAGTCGTTTTTGTCATGAAATGAAATTTCAAAATTTCGAATTTTTCTGTAGAAAAATTACATGTCATAGCTAGAGGGACACCTTTGCCACCATCGGATTCCTCGCACCATTGCGCGTCAAATGATATGTAAAACGAGTGAGTAAAGACTGGGGAAAGGCAAGTTTTAACACAAAAGTTGATTTTGCCCCCCCAACCGAAAATCTCTGGCGACGCCTATGCTATCAAGGATGGTTAAGAAATTTTATGTGACATAATTGGCCTTAATAAGTGCATGTTACACAGCATCGAGTGTTGTTGGTAACCTAGTGACTGATGTCGTGTAGCCTGGCTCGGTATTAACTGATTGTACCGCGTCCCAGTGCCGGGTACGGCGACTGCCTGAGGAAGCAGCCAAAGGCCAACTACCGGCGTCATAGCGAGCCCAGCGATCAGCTGGCGCTCGGCCCGGCCGGTCAGACCTACGACGCCACCCAGCAGTGCAAGCTTGTCTTCGGAGACGAGTTCGAGATCTGCTCTTACATGGTGAGATACCGAGCTCTCTCACAGATCGTCACTCGTTTAATGTCCATCTGAACTCCCGCTTTGTTACCTTTCTTCTCGTTACTGACTTACTTACTTTGTTACTGACCTTAGAAACGACACTTGCTATCCGTTCTGAATCACGGTCTCTCAAGAGGCCTTGTTTCTCCTCAGTACCTACCTCTCCCTGTTATGAGTCAATGCCGAACTCCCCCTCCTCCCGTTGCGTTGGCAGCCAGTTATACTCGATCTCTCTCCTTTACTCTCAATACTGACCTCTGGTCGCTATCTCTGGTAGCAGCTCGAGGCAGCGGGTACTGCACCAATGCTAGACCCTGACTCAGACTGCGAATCATGCGATGAATGGCAACAGCAGTCAACAACGGGGGTCTGTTGCTGCCATTGAATAAGGAATGAAGGAACAATTGAGGGCTGATTGGGTGACTGGTGTCTGTAATCTGACTCCAGTGTAGGGCTGAGACTGTTGCTGTCTAGCAGTGCCGTCTGTTTTAGTTTCCGAAGATGATAGGAGGGTTAGTAGAGCCTGAATCCGCTGCTGTCCGACTGTGCAGGTGATCTGTATTTTCCGTGAGTCATTGTTGGCTGTCCGTAGTGTCTGACGACTGTATTAGTTATCTGTAATTTCTGTACGACAGGGCGCCAGCCTCATACACGTCATAAGGCACTATAAAGTCTGCTGGCCGTCCCCAGTGACGTGCTTAGTCTCCGATGACGTTACAGACTGTCCCCGGTGTCTGCTGACGGCGCCGTCCGTTCCCTCTGCCAGCCGTCTGACTCATGACCGTCTCCCCCCGCTGTTACAGCCGACCTGTAAGCGTCTCTGGTGCTCAAGGAGGTGCAATGGCACCGATTGCAGCGAGGGCTGCCGCACGCAGCACATGCCCTGGGCGGACGGCACCACTTGTGCTCCGGGCAGGTGGTGCCAGCGTGGGGAGTGTGTCTCGCGGACGCCACGGCCCGACACCGTGCACGGAGGATGGGGACAATGGGGCGAGTGAGTCCATAAGGGGAGAGTGAGTCAACCCGCTGGGGAAGGTGGGGAGAGTAAGTCAACCCGATGGGGACGGTGGGGAGAGTGAGTCACTGGAGGAAGAGTGAGTCCATAGGGGGAGAGTGAGTATAAGGGGAGAGTGAGTCAGTGGGAGCGGACGCGGAGTGAGTCAGTCCGTTGGGGACAGTGGGGCAAGTGAGCCAATGGGAGTGAGTCAGCTCAGCCTTTTAGGGTCAATGGGCTGAGCGAGTCCTTCCGCGTGGGCCAGTCTCAGACCGGCTGACCGTCCGACATTAATTGACAATGACCCCCACAACAGCTTTTTTAGACTATGCTTAATCAACTCAGATGTCATTGAAGATTTATGACCTGCCTTTATACCGGTATGAGCAGTTCCATTAAAGTAATGAACGTCACAGCAAAGATATGTGAGGTCGTCGGGATAATCTTTTGGTTCTCTCATTCCAACAATGTAACAAATATTTTCGGTCAATTATCGGCTGGCGCTAATTGAATGTTTCATAACTTGTTGTGGAGCTCTGACCACAGGTCTGACTGTACCTCAGGTGGGGCCAGTGCTCGCGCTCCTGTGGCGGCGGCATCCGGCGTTCGGAGCGCGGATGTAACGCCCCCGTGCCCTCCAACGGCGGCACCTACTGCCTGGGACAGCGCGTCAGGTGAGGGATAATACTGCGGTACCTACTGCCTGGGACAGCGCGTCAGGTGAGGGATAATACTGTGGCACCTACTGCCTGGGACATGCAGCGGGTCAGGTGAGAGAATGAAGGACGGCATGGCAGTACCTTATAGCGGGTCTTTCTGTCTTCATCTCGGGCATAGTCCAATTACCGTTGTGGCAATGACTCATGCAGAGCGAGTCGTTACAGCGCGGGCTCTGGGAGGTGGGAGTGGCGGCTGCCACCTGACACGCCCGTCGGATGGGACCCTGACGGATGGCCTCCCGGGCTCCGTGTGGTGTCGGGTGGCTGTATGTATGGTGTCACTGATCCCCGGCAGACTGAGACAGACCGACCTGCTCCCATTACAAGGACGGTTGGCGGCCGCGGGGGGGGGGGGAGGCGGGGAAGGGGTACTAACTCCGCTCGCTACCGACGGATGGATCCAGTGACATGGTTCATCTGATCGCCCCCCCCCCCCGTCCCCGTCTTCACGGCAGGTACGAGTCATGTAACCGGCAGGAGTGTCCCAAGGGCAGCGTCGACTTCAGGGAGGCCCAGTGCGCCACCTTCAACGGCAACAACTTCAACATCCAGGGCCTGCCGTCGGACGTGCAGTGGGTGCCCAAATACACAGGAAGTGAGTGGAGGATGCGACCGGAACTCTGCTGGTAGCCTCCAGCTGAGAATGTTTTGATAACGGCACATGTGAATTTTTGCTCTTGGGCGTTTTTCTCTTATCGCTATTTGTACCATAAATGTATGACCTTTAGAAGGAGAGCAAGCATGCTTTTTCTTCTCGACTACAGATAGTTTTATTTCAATTGATAATTGAGCCGCTAAAGGCAAACCGGTTTGATACGTTTGGGTATGCTGCAGAACAGACATAATGTTCAGATCCTATCAAGCATGCATGTATGTACACATATTCGTGAACTTACATATCCGAGTCCGAGTGTTGTTCTATGTACAAGCACCGATATGGAAACGCCTCTCTGTCCGCCAGTCAAAAACAAGGACCGCTGTAAGCTGTTCTGTCGGGTGGCCGACTCGAGTGCGTACTACCTGCTGAAGGAGCGCGTCGTGGACGGCACCACCTGTACGCCCGACACAGACGACATGTGTGTCAACGGCATCTGCGAGCCGGCCGGCTGCGACCACATTCTGCACTCGGATGTGCACGCCGGTTAGTCGCCGCTGCCGGGCTCAGAGAGATCTTGTATACCTAGTACCTACATACCTTAAAGATTTTACGTGTATTGTAATTGGATTGGATCTAACTATATGTCCGAGCTGACCTCGAGTGACGCATTTTCCATATGAGTGGAATAGATAGGTATGTGGAATAGTTGGTTATCTGTTGGTTGAATTAGAGTGGATGTTCATATTATTCGTAGGAAACCCAGTATGCTGCATTCTTCGGCAAAGGGAGTGGTGTGACGTTAGGTGCCAGATGGTGGTCACGTATCTCGCTCCAGCGTGCGTGTGTCTGTTCCCTAGTATTGACTGCCCACACTTCTCCGTCTGCGGCAGACCAGTGCGGAGTCTGCGGCGGTGACAACTCCACCTGCCACGTGATCAAGGGCTACTTTGACAAGTCGACCCAGAAGAACATCCACTACGGCTACAACCGCGTGGTACGCGTTCCGGCCGGTGCCACGAGACTCGACGTGCGCCAGAAGAGCAACGACCATACCAGCAAGGACGACAACTACCTCGGTACGTGCTTATCGCGCAGTCTTACCACTGATCGATTCAGCAGGGGATCCTTTTCACTGAGCTTCTTTGGGAGGCATGTTTTGTGGAGGGGAGGCATCAGTTGAACTGTAAGTCACATCCTTGTTTCATACAAACTATGGTTCGAAATAAGTGTCATGTTTTCCAACTCGGTTTCTTGTCCATAATTAAGTCGCTGGTTTGTGGAATATTTGGTCTTAATAACTAAACGGAGCTTTTGAAATGTGCATAGTTCTTACTTCTTGTGTAGGCGTTTCTTATAGGTATCTTGGTATAAGCGTAGTTCACGGTGCTGCCGCCTTGCTGTGCCACCTTACGAGTGACCCAGTGGAGCCCTCCCGTTTGGACGGCCCCTCCTAACGGCGCCGGCCTCATCCGACAGCCCTGCTCGACCCGGAGACCCGGGAATACATCCTCAACGGCAACTTCGTGGTCAGCATGTTCAAGAAGGTGATGCAGTACGGCGGCGTCCTGCTGGAGTACACGGGATCCGACTCTGTCGTCGAGAGGATCAACTGCAGCAAGCCACTGGAGAAGGAGCTCGAACTCTACGTGAGTACCCGACGGCAAAGAGGTTCGACGGTGCGTTCAGTGGTCGTTCCAATACAGACCAATTGCGAAAGCAGCACAGGCAATAGGATGGTATCTGGCAAAAAGTTACGCTGTCGTGCACAATAACTTTTCTACCCAGACTACTCACCTTCCCTCCCCACTCAAAACCTAAGCTGCTCTTCTCCAATATTTCTGCAAAAAAAAGATATTGTGGAAACGTTAAGCCTTTTTCAAATATTGATTTGAACAAAAAGTTGGCAGTTAGCTTAGAGAACCAACCGTGGTCGTTATCACTGACCCTTTGTGCGTGTTGCAGGTGCTGTCTGTGGGGAACCTGGCCTCGCCAAACGTCGAGTACGAGTACACGGTCTCTGTGGAGCGTCCCGAGACCTACCAGTGGCAGCTGTCGCCACACTGGTCCGCCTGCGACCGCGTCTGCCAGGGTGAGACCCCCCCCCCCCCTCCTTCCGCCATCGACTGCGGCTGGTGGCTTCTTTTTGTTATTTAGTTAACTTCGATGTTTCCACAAATCGATTATGTCTTCTTTGACGTATGGTCGGATCTGGGGTATGGAGCTCGCTTGTTTATGCCTGAAACAGACTCTTTCCGCAGTCAGGAAATCGCATGCGAGAGCCTATTCCAATACATGGAAGCACGCTCGCATCAATCGCACGCACCTCCCGGATGCGATTGATGCGGGAAGAATTATAATGTATTTGAATAGGCTCTCGCATGCGATTTCCTGAACGCGGAAAGAGTCTGTTTCAGCCTTTAGACTGATTGCCTAACCCGGCCCTGACGCCTGAGCTGGTGAATGAGCTCTTCACGTGTCGTGCCGCCGCCAGGAACGCGGTACCGGGAGGTGCAGTGTGTGCGCCGCTCCGACTCTGTGTCCGTCTCAGAGAGCCACTGCAGCCGGGACCCTCGTCCAGACCGCGAGGAAGTCGCCTGTAACTTGGGCTGTACGCTCATGTGAGTAACCCTGATCGCCGTATTTAACGGTAGCCACTCGCCGTTTGCTACGATTCTGCAAATGCATAATAAATGCAAATGCTGAGGCTTCTGCCCCAAATATTGTTACTGGGCACGTTTGATGAGTAGTGACTAGTGAGCACTTAATTGTAAATGCCAAACTGGTGAGGCACTTGCTATTTTAGCCGTTACAATGAATTGTATGTACAGTATAGCCGAGATAAGTCCTGGTTGGTGAGTGTGGCCGTCCTGTATCGCCGGCGCTGTGAGTGTGACCAATGACCATGCCAGCTGCTCTCTGACGCCGACACCCCTCCCTATCGCCAGCTGGAAGGTCACCCACCGCTCCGAGTGCTCCAGCTCGTGCGGACCTGGCACTCGTCGGGCGCAGTCGCAGTGTTTCCAGAGTTTCCCGGGCGCGCTGCAGATCGACCTGTCTCCGATCCAGGACCACAACTGCCAGCACTTGTCTGACCGGCCGGCGCTGCTGGAGGCGTGCCAGGGCGCCTGCGAACCCACCCGCTGGCGCTTCGGCGACTGGTCCGAGGTGCGTGGGTGATGGGATTATGTATATCCTGGTGACCTAGTCTATCAAAACCATAATCGGCATAATCTTAAATTGTGTTATTTTATAATATATTTTTTTGTGATGTTAACAGCCTAACCGTGTATCCAGTTTGATCGCCTGAGGGTCTCGTGTAACCAGTATGACGGTTATCCAGTATAACGGTTATCCAGTATGACGGTTATCCAGTATGACGGTACCACGTTTCCATGTGTCCAGTAGGACCGTTCTTACGTATCCAGCTTGTCCGTGCCCCGCTCCTGTGTATCGTATCCAATCTGACCTCTCATGATCGCTCTGTCCCCGGCAGTGCTCACGCACGTGCGGCGGCGGCACCCAGGAGCGGACGGCCGTGTGTGTAACCAGCACGGGCTCAGTGATGGCCGACACTTACTGTGACCACAAGGAGCGGTTCGTCTCCCAGCCGTGTGGCCACACAGAGTGCCCCAGCTGGCGAGTGGGCAACTGGAGCACGGTAAGGCATATGACGCTTCCCCTGCCCATCTCAGAGCAATCATCGGCATCGCTCAGTTGAAAGTAATTCATAGTTGATCACTTTTTGCTTATAGACTGCTCATTTGCATGAGATTGGCTGGACTGTTTTTGGGTAAAGGACGCAAATTTAGTGAGGGTTTTGAGACGATTGGCTGTATTCGCGAGCTTATGCTGTTTGCCGCTATCGCACCGATTTTGTATGGCGCGCTTTTTGGCAGTTATGACCAGGTGCAGTAGTGGGGCGTGGGACGCATGGCGAAAGAACGCCTGTAGAGTGTAGATATGTGAATAGTAGTGTGATGCTGCGCTGACCGAGAGCCTGCTGCTCCCGGGCCAGCCTGATGGCCCGGTGGGTGCATCTTGTACATGCATACAACATACATGCACGGGCACAGATGCAGACATGGGACAAACGATACAAACTCAGTCTCAGACAGCTCAAACAAAGACTAGTTCAGACTCGGACAAGGTCAGACACAGACGTACAGACGGAGGTACAGATAAACACGCACAGACACTCACACGCACACACACTCGTATGGCATGGCTGGGCGCGGCCGGCGCGTGGTGGCGGTGGCGGTGACCGGTACGGCCGTGCGCCGGCACGTTGGGCAGTGCTCCAGGAGCTGCGGCGGCGGCCAGCGGCGGCGGCCGTACTGGTGCGCCCTCGGCGACTCGTACCTACCTGAGTCGCAGTGTGACACCACGCTGGTGCCGTCTCACACGCAGCCCTGCGAGCTGCCGCCCTGCGCTCAGTGGCGCGCCGGCACCTGGGACGAGGTAGGACATCAAATCCATGTCTCTCATCTCTTTCTTCTTCGTGCATCGCCACATTATCTTAATCCGCGAGTTGCTGGGGGGGGGGGGGGGGCGTTAAACGCCCCCACTTTTTCGCCGGGCCATAGCATAAAAACGGCGCGCAAATTTTGGGTACCTGTAGGGAATTGATTGACGTTTATTGTGACAAAATTTCAAAAAAATCGGTCTGAAATTTTTTGAGATATCGAGGTTTTAGTGACGTCATGATTTCTGGGTTTTCGACCAAAAACGGCATATGTTCAAAAAATCATATAAAATCACAGAATAGACATACAGACATGCCGTAAACGCCATTAGACTGCCAATACCATGAACAATCAAATGGCTATCTTCGATTATTGATTATCGTTCCGCATTTTCCAAAATCTTGAACTGAATCTTGGCAATTTCTCGTGACTACTTCACGACCATGATACATGCATTTCTTAAATTGAACTTTTTGAGCCAAACACGTACGTACACATATGATAAAATGAATGTCACCATCGTTTTCTTCGCCCCAAATTACCCATAAAACATGTGTCACAGGCTGCGAATATCAGTTTTTATTTTCGGGGATATGTGCCTACCCGGTTGACCTGACCTTGACCCTGACCTATGCTTGACTGACCCCTACATGGAGCTGACACTCTTGTAGGCCTTATATGATGGATTGTGCACCGTTTTGACAGAGTTTATGACGACAGGCGCCCATTGCGAAGTCCTGAAGTCCATGCTACTGAAAGCCCGATTTCAGGTGTTTGACCTGACCTTGACCCGACCTGTGACCTCAAAATTCAACTTTAAAGTACCTACTCATCTGAAGCGTCTCGTCGCGTTCTTTCGTTTGCCGCCTCGTGCGTTTCGCTGCGCCTATTGGTTCTCGAGTTATCAGCTGGGGGCGTTTAACGCCCCCCCCCCCCCAGCAAACGGTGGGTGGCGAAATACCCCAGCAACTGCCGGGTTAATATCCTTTCTTATGTCTCGGTTTCGTTTTTCATGACATCTCACCTCGTAGTAAGTACTTTCATTCGACTCACGCATAGTTACACTCATCAGTATGTCATCTCTTCGATTGTCTTGCCATCCCCGTGCTTTGCATCCATTGCATTGTCATTTTTTCTTTATGATAATGGAGCCGTGACGCATGGCTCAACGATTGTCTCCGCCGGAGGGTCCCCGGACCTGCACGCTGCATGCGGCCATTCCGCTACCGTGTTTTGCTACGGCAGTGCTCGGTAACCTGACCTATGTGCCAACGTTGGTGCTCGATGACCTGACCTGTGTTTGGTGACCTGACCTCTGCTCAAAGACCTGACCTGTATGCCCTTTGACCTGACCTCTGTATCCGTTGATCTGACCTTTGTGTTAACTGACCTGACCTCTGTTTCCATTGACCTGACCTCTGTGTCCGCTGACCTGACCTCTGTTCGCTGATCTGAGGTGAGTCGACCTCAATGCTCACTGCTCGGTGACCTGACCCCTGCTCCGGCGGCAGTGCTCGGTGACCTGCGGCCAGGGCGTCAGCCGGAGGACGGTGCTGTGTGTGGCCCCGGACGGTCACCGTATCGATGACGCGCTCTGCGAGGGCCAGCGGCCGGAAACGAGCCGCGCCTGTGAGCGGCCCGTCTGTCCGCCGCCGACTGCCCCGCCGCCGACCAGCACCCCGGCGGCGCCGCGCTGGAGCGACCCGGCCACCAATCTGATCGACCACTACCGAAACTACGTGTGGCGCTGGGGCAACTGGTCCGAGGTAGCGCAACATTCATATACGTTATAACGTATAACACTTTGTTAAATACGTACATTTCAAGGCCAAGGCGTAGTGCAAGGTGTCCTCTAATTAGTAATTATAATGTACCTACCAGATTTATTTTGAGCTTCGGTCCGCCAATACTGTGCGCTGTTATTCGATCAGAGTATATGACCATCACATCTTGTAAAATGTTATTTGATGATGACGAAAACTGTCAAATTGTCTGCCTTGTTGCCAGTGTTCGGTGACCTGCGGCCGGGGAGTCAAGTCGCGCTCCGTGGCGTGCTACAACAGTCGCACGGGCCACGTGCAGCCTAAGGAAGCGTGCCGACACATGGAGCAGCCCAGGGAGAGCAAGCCCTGTCAGCAGGCCTTTTGCGGCGAGTGGCGCTTCGGCAACTGGTCAGCGTGCTCGGCGACTTGTGGTCAGGTCAGAAAGGCACAGCTACGACTCATTAGGGCACTATACGGGCTAGTATGGGACAAATACGGGTCTGTGTGGCACACCTCCAGATCAGTACGACACTGCTAGGCTTGTGGGGTGCAGTATGGTCAGCTAGGGACACCGGGAGGTGCTGTTGTCGATCCGTTGTGCGGCAAAGTTTGTCAGGTACCTATACAGTATCGTCAATGGTCAGTCTTAGCCGACAACACCTTGACAGTCTGTCGCTTCTCAATCAGTGCCTGTATCCTGCTGTACGTTGAGTGACATTGACTCACTCTGCGACCACTGACGTTGCGCCCCGTCCCTCCCGGTCTCCGCAGAGCCTGAAGCGGCGTCAGGTGACGTGCGTGTCGGTGGTGAGTAGCGCCCCGCTGGAGGAGGAGCAGTGCGACAACAGCACGCGGCCGGCGGCGCTGCGCTCCTGTCCGTTTGTCAGCTGTCCGCCGGCGCCCGCCAGCACCCTCAGCAACCACATCACCGGCAGCGACTGGGTGACGGGCGCCTGGGGCGAGGTGAGGAACCACACCGAACGGAATCCAGCCTTCTGGATGGTTAGCGGCAGTGAGGCCTGACAGATGCATCCCAGGGGGTCTCCTCCAAGCCATTTGTATCCTTTATTTTCCTGCTTAGCCTCAACTCAATTGAGGCCGAGGCCTTCAGAATTCTGGATCGCGTGACAGTTTATTAGCCACCATGTTGCGTCGGTGGCGCTCTCGGAAGTGAACCGATCAGTGACGCCTTCCGCCTGTTTCAGTGCTCCGCAGCTACGGCAGCAGGTTCCACTGTCTGACCAGTACCTCCCTGTTCCAGTGCTCGCGCAGCTGCGGCGGCGGCTTCCAGCAGCGCCAGGTGCGGTGTCGGACCAGCGACGGTGACGGCGCAAGTAGCTGCGACCCGAACACACGGCCCAGTCCGACCGGCTACTGTAACACGGAGCCGTGTCCGCAGTGGAGCACCGGCCAGTGGAGTGAGGTGGGGTCACCCCTTCGCCCCTTCGCCGTGACCAGTCATACAACGAACTGGCACTTATCGTTTTAAACCATTGTTTCTCGGCTTGTAAATGTCTTCAAAAATTAAAGCCGTCTAGGGAAGTTGTGACGTTTTACCTGCTCTTGACGGGCATAATCGGTTGCTGAATCGAATAATTCCGATATTTCCAATAACTCCGATATTTTGCCATAAAGCTTTTAATTCAGCTATACAAATTTGGCTCTTTTAAGGTGTTTATGTTTTTGCCATCGATTCGTTTGAGATATTCCGATGCTCTTGAATCGGTATGTGAAGTGTATTGATCTAAAGGATGCGTATGTGTCTGTGTGTTTCCAGTGTAACGCCACGTGCGGCTCTGGGACCCACATGCGCCGCGTGCGCTGTCAGGACCACCTGGGTCAGCTGTTGGCCGACCACCAGTGCAGCGCGGCGGACCGACCGTCCCCACTGCGGCCCTGTCAGCTTCCATCCTGCCCGCGGCCCGCCAGTCGCCAGTTCCGCTGGCGCGTCTCGCGCTGGTCCAAGGTGAGTTGGTGCTCCCCCCCCCCCCCCCGTGTACCCGCCGCCTGCTGACCAAGAGAGGCCGCAGCCGCCGGCCAGCTTCCGCTTTGTGATTAGCTTTCACTGCCTTTTTGTGCTAGGCTTCTTCATTTGTGTCGTAGAAGTGTGCTCACGCCGGCAAGGTATAAAGTCGGAAAGGAGGCGATGACGTTGACTGTAGTGGAAATTGGCACTGGTCAGTGGAGCCCACTGTTTCGCTTTATTAGCTTTAAGTCGGTACTAGCTTGAGTCAGGAACAGGGTAATGATATATTTCAAGACGTTTGCTCGTCAACGTCTTACATGTGCCTAATAATGACGCTGGGTCAAATCCAGTTCCTGGATTGTATGCGAAACCGGCCGACGTTCATAAGTGCGCCCTGGTTATGAATGAGATAGTGCCTCATCCATGCCCTGGTACTCGATCTTTGGCTCCCGGTGTGAAAAGCAATGTTATTGGTCCACGTGCCCAATTTATTTCCCCACAATTGAAAACCGAACATTATACTTGATACGTAGGAGTATATATCTTTGAGAGTAGTATATCGCAAGTAACCATAAAAGGCAACCGACGACCAATGTCATGGTGCTAACTTAGTAGCTACTCACGAGTTTCGGAATCTATAAGCTACCAAAACGAAGAAACATCTATAAAACTGCCAAAACTAGGAACACGGTTCTGGACTGGCGCATGTTCCTCTTCCTCCCAGCGACAACCTCGTCATTTCACGCCGCTGGCGAGCTTTGAGCACACTTCTACCTGGCAAGGATGCTACAGAGATGATTATACGTTTTGCTTAGTGCTAAACTTGCTTTTACGAACAATGTGCATAATTTGGTTCGATTGAAGCGTTTATATTCTGCCTCGCCGCCGCATAAGCTGTTTATTTCTTCATTTTACCCGCTTTGCCATTGTGATCGGATTTTTGTGTGCGGTATCTGTGCTGAGGCGTGTGGATATCCCTCGGCAGTCTGTCTGGCTGTCTGTCTGTTTGGCTTTCTCTTGCGCTATTTATTCCCTCTTATCATCTGCTTTTTCTTCTCACTGTCATTTCGTTCTGTTCTCTTTGCATCCATCTCTTTTCGCTCATTTTTTCTCTCTCTTTTTGTGTGTGACGATGTGTCAGTGTGCTTATTCTTTTTTATCTCCCTCTACCTATTTGTCGCGCTGCTGCCGCATGTGCCCCGGCTGGCGGTGCGCCTTGGGACCGGTTCTGGAGTGGCCCTCCTGTCCCCGTGTTTCCAGTGCTCGCGGAGGTGTGACGCAGGGTTCAAGGTGCGCGCCGTCGCCTGCATGGACACGGCGCGCTCCACGAAGGTGCCGTCGCGCTACTGCCAGACGCCGGGCCGCCGCCGGAGGCCGCGCTCCCGGCGCCGCTGCAGGAGGCGGCCCTGTCCCTTCAAATGGGTACCGGGCTCCTGGTCCGAGGTGATGTCTCTCTGACTTTCTCTCTCTCTCTCTCTCTCTCTCTCTCTCTCTCTCTCTCTCTCTCTCTCTCTCTCTCTCTCTCTCTCTCTCTCTCTCTCTCTCTCTCTCTCTCTCTCTCTCTCTCTCTCTCCCCTCTCTCGCTCACTCTCTCTTTCTCGGTCACTCTCTCATTCTTTCACTCAGAGGCAACTGGCCGCTAATAAAGACATACTTATTACTTGGTTGACCTTCTCTATAGCTGCACGGGTGCGCCGTCCAGCTGCGCGCATCTCTGATTCCATTGGACGTGACCTCCACCTGAGCTAACTTCACCTAGCTCACCGTTCCGTGCTTCTATCCTCAGGATACTGAAATCCTTCTCCTCCACGCCGCAACCCCCCTCCGGGCTGGACAGGCAACTTTATCTCATGCGGGCTGCTCCCTTGGAGCGGCACCGCTGCTCCTGAGGGAGCGCACCCCGTAGCCGGGTGCAGTGAGTGCCTTGGGGCTGGGTGGCCTGTCCTCTGGACGGGCTCAGCCCCGGCGACTCACTAGGGTGCCTGCCCAGACCAATGTCTCCCCCTAATTCCTATCATCCTTCCGGCTCTGCAATGGTCTTGTCAGACCGAAAGGGCCTAACCCAACAAAACAAAAAACAAAAATCACCTACTATGCATTTCAGACCCCATGAGACCCTACTTTTCGGCGATAATTTCTTCAATTTTTGTCCAATTAGCTTGAAATTTTGGCAAACGATATTTCAGCTCAAGCGCCAATTTTTGTCAATATGGTCTCTTAACAAAATATCAAAATTTAGAGCACTTGTCGTTGGCTCGTAATGTTAATCAGTTTTTGCACCCGGATAGAGGCTCGCTCGCTACCGCACCGGATTGGATAGGAGCGCTGGCCAATCACGTTGCGCCGGGCCCAACTAAACTCCGCCCACTGGCCGTGACCGGGATGGGTCTATGCCGCTTCAGTCGGTGTCAGCACCGCGGAGAGGTCGGAGCGGGACCACATACTGGAGACAAGTGAAGCTGGCAAAGTTGTTTCGGGACGAAAGCCCAAAAAAATTATCCGTTTGAGGGCATTTGGTATCCTCTTCACCTTATTTTGGTATTTAAACGTCGAACCAGCTCAGAATATTCAGAATGATCAGAATCAAGGTAGGATCTATTGGAACGGAACCGGCCGTAGAAGGAAAGATGGATAGACTCTTAAACTCTGAACATTTATTTAAGCCGGAGTTGCACCTATCTCATCGTCAGGTTGGGTCAGGTCACTACCCGATTACCTATAAGATCATGTGTAAGCCTGTGCTTAACCCAAAAATATTGATATATTTGGCAGTGCCAATAAATGTTTCTGAGGAAGGCGCAGAAAGCAACAAAGTAGGATGAAGAGTCTCGGGCACGGCCGATTGCCTGGGGCATCGCTCCAGCGAAAAGACCGTGATTCGTGAAGCGGTGCGGGGCGCCGGGTGGGGCAGAAGCGTAATGTGTCGTATGGTAGAAATGGCCTTTATCGCGGTGTCATGTGTGTGATATATTGTTAAGACGTGCACAAAAAGAAATAGCAATGTGGCAGGCGGACGTTGGGCACTACACGAGAACGATCATCAATAAACTCGTATCTTTTTTGTAAAACTTAAGTAACAGTAGGTATGTCCTCAATGGTGAGGAAACTATCTCTAGGCTTTTACTTTTCATGTTTGCATTTCAACACACAAGCTCTGGGGGCAAAGTTAGTCTGGCGACCTCCTCAACCTAAGTAGATGATCAAATGGATTAGTCCTGAAGGTGTTCAATGCTTAGTTGCACCGGGATGATATAAATCGATCACGCCGGCATACCTACACTCCTAATCAAATTTCATATATCAAACACATAAATTGCATCATGTTAATGGTGATTCTGTTTTGCAATTTTGACGTAGTCTGACGTGATACATAATCTTACGCAATCATTTGAAATCAACAGCGTCTTTTATGCGCGTGTTTCACAAGCCCCGAATCTTGTGTGGAAATATATATTTTTTGTGACTGAACAAGGTGTACGTACATTTGTGATAGATACAATTAGTCGAGGGCTTCAGCTGGTGCGTTACTTATGCGCGCTATTTAGCTCATTCGATGAAATTACGGCTGCAACGACAACCGCACGGCAGCAGCTACGGTCCATCCGAGCCGCCCCGGTGCGACAGCTACTGCCCCGCCCGCCCCACGCAGTCGACTGACCGGCCAAGGTCACTACCCCGTCCGCCGGGAGGGCGGAGCTTAATGGTCACGTGTTTGTGACGTCACACCTACGCACGGATAGCCTCTACTCCACTGACGGATTTACGGAGCCGATTTTAACATTACGAGGCAACGACAAGTACCCTAAAATTTGATATTTTGTTAAGAGACCATATTGGCGAAAATTGGCGCTTGAGCTGAAATGTGCATTGTGAAAATTTGAAGCAAATTGGACAAATATTGAACAAATTATCGCCAAAAATTAGGGTCTCATGGGGTCTGAAATGCATAGTAGCTGGTTCATCTTATAGGTACCGACAGCTGAAATTAAAAACCTATGTTATCCAGATGGAAACAGAGCTTCGATATAATGGTGAACGGCGATGTCCCTGTCATTCTCTGTTGCTTTGGGAGTTAGCGTTCGTAGTTAGTGTTCGCAGCGTTCGTAAATAAACACTTTACTGTCGCACTCATGTCGATTTGGTGCTCTTAGCGCTCGCGTTTATATGCTTGTAAGTGTTCAGCTCTGTTCGTGTGCATACGTTCTCATGTGTATGCTTATACGTATATCTATGTGGCCATGCTTGCATGTATGCTTCTGTCGCCTGACCCACGGATGTAGCTGGCTGGAGATTAAGAGGGACATTATAGCCATAGGCTCATTCAAGCATGCTTATTCCGGAGACTGTCACTTCCATTTAAAAGGTGTCTCTGTTGCGAGGTTAAACTTACCTGATAAGCGTCTCTTCATGTCGTTGCTGTTGTGCGTTGGATGATACTTTTCCCGCCACACCGTACGCAGTGCACTGGCGAGGTCATATTTCAAGTAGCCCCAGTACAATTGTTTTTAGTTTGTCCGCATGTTCTCCAAGTACAGAGCGCTTTCGGTCATTGATGGCCGATTCCTGTAGGTCGACAAGATTATTGAACGTTTTTTTATGAATGCCATGATGTCAAACGCGTCATGGGCTTACAGGACACAAAAAGTGCATGTGACCGATAGCTGCCCTGAACTGCTATGTTCTGTTCAGTCGGCAGTATGGTGATCACGTGACCTCAACTGCCCTGACTGAGAAGCTGGAGTATGACCCGTTCTGTTTTGACGGCTGCTCTGTTCCGTTCCGACTGCAGGGTCTGACCCTTTCTGTTCTATTTTGACCACAGTGCTCCCAGTCGTGCGGCATTGGCGTGCAGTACCGGCGACCCTCCTGCCACCGTCTCAACATGTTCGGCTGGCGGGACCCGGAGCCGGCGCCGGACGCGCTCTGCGCAGCACGCCGCCGGCCCCAGACGGTCCGCAAGTGTCACCGCTCCTGCTCGACACGGCACAGGTGGAAGACCAGTCCCTGGTCACAGGTCGGTGGATCCAACCGTGCAGCTGTGTAGTTATACTCACTAGGCAGGTGTCGTGGGTGATGGCGTTCTTATTGTTACTCCGTTTCACTCTTGGCGTTCTCACTTGTCTTTAAACGGCTACGTGTGCTTCAACCCCATGGCCACGATGAATAGGGGACTTACACCACATCCCCTCCGGCAGTGTTCCAGCACGTGCGGCAACAACGGCCACCAGCTGCGCAAGGTGCGCTGTGTCAACGCGCGCGGCAAGCACGTCTCGCGCCGGCACTGTCTGAAGTCGGAGAGGCCGCGTCGGCGCCGACGCTGCGGCCGACGCCCGTGCGGCCCACTCTCCTGTCTGGAGGTGGGTCCGTCGACGGTCGACAACGACTCATCCCGGAAAATTGTGTCTTAGACCTGCAAATGCATCCCAAAATCCCTTACATGATGACTTCTCACAGTACCATCAATATAAATTGACAGTCCTTTTTGCCAATTAAGGACAACCTACCAATAGTTATAGTCTCTTTTCCCCTGAGAAATGATATTGTCTATTACCAGAGCTGCATGATCGAAATAAAATTAAAAAAGAACTACGAACGAATTACAATGCAAGTAAGTGCCTAAGTGCAGGGTAAAATACATTCGTGTTACGTGTTAACTTGCCGTTATATATAACTCCGATGTCTGCTCTGCGACGCTCTCAAATCTCAATGCTCACAGATAACATTCGTCACACCGACTGTTGTGCGAAATTTTCATGACCTCATCTCATGTTCTCCGCTTTCAGGCGCGCGATCGATTGGGGACCCGCCAGGACGGCGAATACTACCTGATCGTGGCTGGCAGCAACACGTCCATCTACTGTCACGGCATGAACAGCTCGCAGCCTCCGCTCGAGTTCCTCACACTGCCGACAGACCCGCCGGACGTCTTCTCAAACTTCGCCGAGATCGACGCCAAACGGTATGCCCTGAATGGAACGAAACCTACTGAGATGGGAATGGGACCTCCATGATGAATAGCTAAGCAGCTCTATCCACAACTTAACCTTGATCAGCGCTCATATGTCTCATAGGTCTCCCAGCGACACCACTGAAATATTAGCTTTCATTCTCGTCTCAATATTTAAGCAAGGTCATACCCTCCATTACTTAATACTCTTTTAATAATCATATGGGTCGATTAAAAGTCGCTGACCGCGTGATTGTCCCGTCACCAGACTGCTGCAGCCACACACGTGCCCGCGGAACGGCAGCCGCATTTCGGCGGCGCAGTGCCGCGAGTGTGTGCGGGCGCGCAGCCCGCACGCCGGCTTCACCGTCTTCACCAAGGTCCGGCTCAACATCACCTCTCTCAACATCATCCGTGAGTACATTTGCAGCTTATTCAATTGATATTTAGCGTCCAGGAAAGCAGCAGAGTGGACTGCGGTTGTAGGAGGGCTAACACACCAAAGTTAACCATGTTCGTTGCCCATCCGCAGATACGCTCTGTCATCACCGCCACTTTTGCCATCTTCGGTACTCGGTAGCGACCATTTAGCGAGGATTGTTATGGGCCACCCCTGGAGTTCTCGTGTTACGGAAAACTAAGTCCCCTCTTTCGGCTAGCTGGTTTTATCTACATCCTAACTGTCGTCGAATCAGCTGTCTACTCACGGATACCGTTATCCTCTGTTCCAGCTCGTGACTTTACATTCGCCAACACGTCTGGCCGCGGCCGGCCGGTGAACTACGGAGAGGCCGGCGACTGCTACTCTTCAGCAGGCTGTCCACAGGGCAGGTTCAGCATCAACCTGCGCGGTACCGGCCTGCGCGTGGCAGCGGCCACCCACTGGGTGGGCGTGGGCAACAAGTCCACCGTCCGTATCCACACGAGCAGGGTGAGCAGGGGCGCATGTCGAAAAAGAAATATTGGTTACTTGAATTGTTTCAGATGATAAATCAAAGTAAGCCCGCCGACCTATATGGGGTTGCTTTTTCTACGTTTATATTTACGTTACGTCACTATCTCCGAGGCCAATAAACCTCCTACTTGCTTAGCAGTACATACATTCGGAACTTCTCCGGCGGCTGTTTCACTGCGCCAGCGCCGAGTCAAGTGCGTCCCGGTAGTCGTAGTTGTCGTGTAGTGTTGGTGGCATCGCCCGTGCCACATATAACCCCTGTGTGTATGTGATTGCGCACGCCGTGGTGACGCCGCGTGGTATCTGCGCCGTCAGGGTCGGACGCTGGTGACGGGCACGTGCGGCGGATACTGCGGCACGTGTCGAGCAGACTCGCCCGGCGGCATCAAACTAGACGTGGCTCCACCCTGACGCCCGGGTCAGTATCCACCGCCGGGGCAGCCCGCATCGGCCCATTAGGGTAATTCAACACCTGGTGAACACAATCTTGAACACAGGGTAAAAGGATATCGGTCTGTATCTGCATTGCGCTTGCTAATTGTGTTAACTATAACAAACATGATACTGTGTGTTTTCATTAGCATTGCTGCTGTTGTCGCCAGTATAGTAAACTTCCGCTAAGTTCGAGTCTCATCGGTGTGCTGCTGTCAACTTCTCCGTTTCTTACTCGTTTTACCGTTTCAGGGCTGTAGCGGTCATTAATTGTCTTTCATCTGTACATATTCAAGCCCATATGTGCCTTATACGAGCGGCTGGACGCGGTGCGCGCCGAAGGAGCCTCCGCGACGAATAGCAGCTACCCACCTGGCCCGCCGCCGGGCCGCCGCTGACCGGTGTCGGGCGGCCCAACTACCGAATCTCTACACGCTAACTCAGACTGTGAATCACTGCCAGTGGAGCTAGTCGGGTGGCCGGCGCGGCGCCGAGCACCCGGCACTGGCGCCGGCTCGGCTGGCTCGACACGGACGGGCCCAGTGGAGCAACGCGAGCACGTCTCCTAACTCACTTGAATATGCCACGCGCCGCGTGACCGTGAACGGCTGCGCTGCTGGACTTGGTCGCTGCTGAGGTCTGCATACTGTGCGAGTGCAAAGTGTATGTGCGGTGCTCGTTTTGTAGTCGTATGACAGAGATTTGCCTTGTGCCTTAGCTGTGCCTTACTTCCGAATGGCTGCTATATTACGTAGACGGCGCGGCGGAAAGATCTGACCAGAATGCTACGAGCTGCCGCCACTGCCAACTGTTGCAATAACAAAATAAAAATGTGAACAGAAGGTGTAATCTTTCAGTGCTCGTTGCCGAGTATTGGGTATCGGTGATCCCTATACTCATCCCAAATGACTCGCTCACGCGCTCGCTCCCTTGTCTGCGTGCGAGTTCTCGTGACCGATCAAGACTGGGCCGAGGTTACTCTAGGCTGGCGAAATACAATCTTTCATAGATATGGGTAGTGTGGATAAATGTAAATCTGCGACGCTGCGCTCCAATAGCGGCGCTCAACTCGGCGCAACATTCACTGAAGTGGCACTCGGTCACAGCACTGGCCACTCGGCAGCGTGTATTCAGGCGTCCCTGGGTAATCTCAACATGAACAGTGACTGGTTTGGCGGATCAGACGCACCGGCCGCGCTGCCGCCGCTCGGCGGTCCTCTCCGCCCCCTCCCCGCCCCGTCCGGCAGTACGATACACCTCCTTATAGCGGTACACAGAAATGCCCGGCCCACAATACTGAATGCCCCCACTAACGGCGCCCTTCTGCTGTGCGGGGAGAGCGCCGATGACTGATGCACTGACTTGACTGTCCTCTGGACAGCTTCCGCGGCCGGCTTCGCCCGCGTAACCCGCGCGCAGCACACCTCAGTCACAGGTCGTCCGCGCGCCGCACAGTACACCGATAACACCAAGAGAGCGGTTTGAGCGCAGCCCGGGCCGTCCACCTCCCTAGTCCTGGCGGCGGCCGGCGCCGGCGCCCCACCCGAGGAATGATACCGGGCCGCTTCATCACCGTTATGATATCGCTAAGTAGCGCGGACGATGGACGCTCCGCGCACCGGCCCGTCGGCCCACTAGGGTGGCACGTAGGGCGGCGGCTGTCGGTAATTCGCCGCCGGCCGGGTGCGGCCCGACCGAGCCGAGTCGTCGGCGGAGGCGAATGGCGCCGGCCGCACGTACGGAGTGTCCTCGCTGCCCGAGCCAGCCGGCTCGCCACGCGCGTCCAGCATGGGCGTGGCCGGCGACGCGTCCTCGGACGGATAGGTGGGCGGCTCGGGCGGCCGCTCATTGGTCAGAATCACAGGCGTCTTGGCGTTCTTCTCCATACGGTCCTCAAGCTCGTCAGAGAAGATGACCGGGATGCCACGACTGACGTACGTACCGTTATCGGTCATGGTCATCTTTCCGCGGCGCCGGGCGCGGTACAACACGCAGGCGATCAAGCCGGCAATGATGAGCATGGCGGCGATCACCACTGCCGGTATAATGAACGTCACCAGGTACTCGTCTCCCTTGCTCTCGGGGGCCTCCTCGTCGCGCGGCCCAGCGGCCACCGTCGGCGCCGCCTCTGTGGTGGGCGTCTCGTCGGCCAGACAGATACCGCGCGGCGTTACCGACGCGTTCACCAGACGAAACTCTGGCCCGAGCGCCTGCACGGCGGCCGGCTGCACGCGGTCGTCGTCCAGCAGAGCGCTGCGCAGCGCCGTGATCTCGTCATCCGGACAGTGCTCGCGCGGCAGTGACTCGTTGAACCACGAGAACAGCACCGAGCCCTCCTGGATAGAGTGCACGAGGATGGAGTCGGCGCTGGAGTCGCCCAGCAGCTCGGCCAGCTTCTCAATGAGGCGCTGTTTCTGCAGCGGGTCGCTGCTGAAGGACGCGAAGTCGTTTTGCAGCGTGACGCCGAACTCGACGGTGTAATCTGTGTTGTTTTGCCGCGGGGCGACCTCGACTTCGATCGAGTCGAACGTCTTCAGACCGCCGCTGTCGATACATTCCTGTGGAAGAGGGAAGGAGGGTTACGATAAAGGCCGACACTGACTTGTCGATACCGTCCCTGGGATGGGGAGAGACGGGTCGCGATAAATGGATAGTGGGGACGGCCCCAGATAAACATCGGAGCTCTAGCCGGGCAGGCAGGACGGGTTATGGGGTAAATACTGGGTGGTGACTGAGCAGGCGACGGCATAAACGGCGAGTAAATACTATCCAAAGATTGTAAATGAGATAGATCAATGAGACATCGATTAAATGATACCAGTGTTTATGTTGTGCGACAGGACACCATCAAAGCATAACAGACGCTCAGATCGCGGGAATTGTCGAGTCGAGTTTTGTTAGCGGCGAAACAATGAATAATTGAATGAAATAACAGCGAGCCCGCGACCCAGCGAGCAACTGACCAGGTGGTAGTGGGTCCGCCCAACGTGTTCATCGAGCGGCAAGCCGATGAACTCCTGGTTCTTGGGCTCGAATTGCAGCCAGCTGGATGGCGGCACCGGCTGGCGGTCGCCGGTGAGCAGACGCAGCTCCATCTCCCGTGCGTAGCCGTCCTCCTCATCAAAGAACGTGTCGGCCGGCACCTGGGGAAACAAGTCACAACGACTGGTTATAAACTCGGGAGGCGTGCGGGAAGGAACGGTCACAGCGTTCGTGTATCATCAAGGGGAAACTACACTAGAGAAAAAAGTCTAGGAAGTGTGCGTTGAAGCACATTAGTTAATAGGAGGAGTCTGAGAGGAGGATCGCCCGGTGAGTCACACCAAATGTCGCGCCTTGCCGAGACCGGCGGGCCTGCCGTACCTGCAGTTTGAGCAGTTTGCCGACACTGGCCGGGATCCGGTCGAGCTGCCGCAGCCGCTGCGGCTCAGAGTTCTCCCGCGGCTTCTCCGTGGCCGGCGGGGGCACCGACTCCAGCTCCGCGCCGTGGCACACGTTCAGCAGCTCCAGACGTATCTTCTGCGCCTGGAACTGGGGCTGCAGCGCGTTGCGAAGCTGCGCCGTGGGACCGCCGTCCTTACCCAGCAGGAGCTGCCGACAGACCCAACAGCAGAGGTCAGCAGGGGCCCACGCGCGAACATCAGAGGTCAGCAGTAGCACGCGTGTCAGCAGGGGGCCGAGGGACAGAGGCTACAGACTGACAGTCGCAGGGTATCCTAACTTGACGAGAAAAAAGCACGCGCTCATTCTCTGGTCAACTACACACAACCAAACATGAGTGGCAGCGTTCACCGTGAATATGTGTATCCCTGTTCTGTTAGCGACTCAATGCTGTAGCTCCTTAATTTCCCAGTTCCAGTACTTGACATAGCCCGTAACGAGTCTCTTGACGTTGCACTTGACAGTTGACACCTTAGAACGGACAATATCAACCCATTCCCCAAGGAAAGTCATTCTATGCACCAGACATTCCTGTTGTTTATTGGGGCCTTAGCGCGTCGAAGCATCAGACATTCATAACGGATGCAGAGAGGCCAAGGGCAGAGACACAGGTCAGAACAGTCACCAGTGAGGGACACGCATCTGAACGTACCGAGGCGACGCGCGCCAGAGCGCGTTTGTCGCAGCGGTGTGTGCTGATGGTGTCGTTGACCCAGCCGAGCCGGACGGAGCCGTCGATCTGTCGAATGTCGTAGACCAGCAGGCTGGAGGCCGAGCTCTGGTTAAACAGGCCGGCCAGCTTCCTCAGCAGCAGCAGCTCCCAGTCCACCTGCACGGCGGAGAGAGACACGCAGGAGAGGGGGACGTCAGACAGAGGACGCTGCAATCATCGTTATGTCAACGATATTTGACAGTAGACCACTCCCTGAGCTGTATTTTTATAATGTAAGCCATCTAAATGATCATTTGCTCCATACTTCGTAAAAAAACGCTGTTGGGTATATTTATAAGATTCAAACTGCATTTAATCAAACTTATCAAATTATCACATAGCTCTGTCAAATTTATCGGTGAAAGATCAAAGCCAGTCTCCCTGCTCCCAATTACAACACAGATCACAGCAAATCACAATGATTGTTGATATTTCGTAGCTAAAGTAGGTATGCAGGGCCCCGCTTCAGATGTGTTATATAAGAAGGCAGTCTGACTACACAATGGTCATTTTTCCTGTGACTGGAATTAGCGTTCTATTGAGTCGCATTTAGAACAATGTACCGCTTTTTCTAGGTCAATTAAGCATTCGGTTTCAATGGCCTCACTGTCGAAATAACTACAGCGAGGTCGTGTAGCGGAGGTCGATTAAGAAGGTCAGTTGATCATATTTTTAGAGCAAGGGCCCGATACAGGTCAGATCTAGGCGAGGAATGGGAGGGTTAGATGGTCTATAGTAGGCCAACAGCAGTCGCCGGCTCCAGCCTCACCGTTCGGTTGAAGTCGGCCGGCCGGAGCAGCTCGAAGGTCAGGTAGAAGCGGTGGTTGATGGCCCGCCAGCGCGGTGACAGTCGCAGCGACACGGACAGCAGCTCAGAGGTGGTCAGGCCGCCCTCGTCCTCGGCAATCAGCTCGAACTGGTACTCGCCAACGTGCTCCTCGTGAGGCCTGTCCGACAGAACGCCACGGACCGGTCACACGTGCGGTGGCACAGGCTGGTTAACGGTGTCAAAAACCGGTCACATTACAGGAAAAGACTGGTCATACGATCGTTACATCACAGCGTACGTTTCAGCGTCTTACACAATCTACGCCACGGCCTAGCTGCTAAATCGCATTGAACCTGTGTAGATAGTGATACGATAGCGCTTCCACACACCCAGCCGAGGCGTCTGAGCCGCGGCCGGCCCCGGTCATCACTCACAGTCCGTAGATCTCCTGGGTGTCGGCGTCGAACTGGAGCCAGCTGTCGGCCGCCAACGGCTGACCGTCGGCGCGGCGTACGCTCAGTCTCAGCTGGCGCGTGGTGCCCGACTCGAGGTCCTCGAACGTCTCCTCAGGCACGCGCACGCGGAACTCCTTCCCAGCCACTAGCAGCTGTTTGCGCATGTGGCGCTTCACGTGCGGTGGGAAGTTGGGCACGGCCACCGTGGCGGTCTCCGTGAGAATATCGTTCCAGGCGGCGGTCGGCGCCACGGCCGCGCCGTCCGGCAGACGAGCCGTCATCTGACGCAAAAACACGGGACAGTGTCAGAAACGGACACACCATCAGAACAGAAGCATCGAGCGACACTCGTTCGTGTTCGAGGATCGTAAACACCACATCCTAGCACACAATAACAATAATAATAAAGTTCTGGGTAGGACATGTGTTGAGCAATGTTTGGCGAGATGAACATACATCAATGGTGTGTTTGTTTTTATATGACGAAGTTCTCAGTCACTGCCCGTATTTGTCCGTGGATGAGTTCACAAATAAACACCAAAAAATAATACGGAGTACAGTATCCCAGCAATCTGGGAGCATTCTTCTGAGAAGAATGCCATTAGCACTTCAAGCTCCACCCATCCAGAATGCTGCGCATTACGTAAGATCCACAGAATCCAACCATTAAGTACATTGCGAGCAGTCCATCCGCGTGCTCCGGCCTCCCTTACCTCCACCCGTCCGTCGGGAACGGCCATGGACGACTCGAGGTGGGTGGTATGGTGCGGCGGCGGCGGCGCATCCCAGTCCGGTACCCGCCCGCTCGGCTCCAGGCCTCCCGGGTAGATGGTAGGCCGCACCGGCACAGGAACCGGCGTGCTCATCCCCGAGAGAGACACCGACGACCAGACGCGCGGCGGGTCGTACACAGGCGAGGAGGGCGGCGCGCCCAGAGACGGAGTCGCCAGCGAGGGCACCACGCGCGACGCCGGGTAGTCCTCGTAACTGTAGTCGTCGTAGTTGTAGTCGTAGTCATCGTAGCTGTAGTCGTCGTCCGAGTACCCGGCTCCGGATCCGTCGATCTCGCGGCGGTGGCGGCCGGTCGGGGAGCGGGCGGTGAGAACCCAGCCGGAGGCCGGTCGGCCCGCGGCGGCCGCCAGCTGACCCAGGTGAGAGTCGGAGCGGAGTGCCTGCAGCGTGGACCGCCACTCTGCGCGCAGCCGGCCTGAGCAGCCCACCCGCCAGGAGAGCGCTGTCAGGGGGCCCGCGTGACGACCGCCGGCGGCAGCGGCCGCCTCCAGCACACTGGGCCCGTCCAGAGGCAGACTGGTGGTCTCAGAGACGTCCGTGGAACTGGCGTCCACCTGGAGACGGTCTGTGGGAAGAGGGATGTCACATAGGCGTTACACATGGGAGGGATCGCCACATAATGGGAAATGGGTGGTAACTGGCTACGTACCGCAGATGCGAGCACAGGACGAGGAGCAGCAACAAGTATCCGGGGTATTCATCTAATTATATTATCTTACAATCTGATGCTTACATCACCAAAAAGCTTTCTTTGTGCTACTGTGTCATGTCCTCGTAAACCAATACACCTATATAGCACAGTGTCGGTCGATCTCGAGAACCCACCTGCCACAGTCCGCAGCAGCGCTTGTCTCTGCGCCCCATCCAGCGACTGTGGCGGCACGTCAAAGAACACCGAGAGGACGGTGGTGGCGGTGTCACCGGCGCAGCCCACCTCGCCAGTCTCGCCGTCCAGAGCCGCCAGTCGTTCGGCGGGGTCGGCGTCTGAAACAGCACGGCATGCAAGATAGAACACTTTCCTTCCGCGGGACCGAATCACACACTCAGAGGAGAACAAAGACAGTCGCGGGCGGCACTCTGCAGGAGCGCCTGCTTACATAACATAGGTGTGTCGCTAGGTTCAGTCACCTTGCAGCCGATAGGTTCGCAATAGACAGGTTTAGACGGATTGCGATCATGCTGGCGGGCACTGACAGTCCGCCTCAAGGGACCTCCAAAGATAAATTGTTTATCAGTCACACCACCTGCAACCAGGCTACATCCCATAGACACCACCACTGGCACTGACCACATTTCGACTTTCGTACCCACCAGTATCCCAACACCATTAACACTCGCACTGCAGGGGGGGGGGGTTGTTTTCAACCCCCCTCTGGTTTTTTCGCTGTAACTCAAAAACCAGTGAAGCTACGACTTCGAAACTTTGTATAGCTGTTTATCAAACAATTTTACATCACCTCTGAAAAAATTAGTGTTAGGTCATGCAAGGTCAGGTCACCAGGTCACGATAAGTGACCTCACCTCATAAAACGTTTGACGCTGTGCTACATCCACACCATTTGACTGAATGCTATGAAACTTTCAGAAACATATTAGGAGACCATAAGGAACATTTTGTATATTTCGAAATTTTTATTTCTGTGACCTTAGGTCACGTCACTTTTTGGGGCCCGGCATGCAATTTCGGACATAACTCGAGAAGTATGGGACGTAGAAACGTCATTCCTTCACCATCCCGCTTATTTTATCAAGACGCGTCGATCAAGATGCAACTTGACCTAGTTTGGTCAATGTTTGACCTAACATGACCTCGATCTCAGGTCACCTGAGGTCACCAACGGTTTTTCTTCAATAACTTTTAATTGAATAGAGATAGAGACTCCGTTCGACGTTTATCGTGTTCGTCTCGTCAATGCGGATCGAATGATATGCAACATGACCTATTTCGGTCAGGTCATGACCTTGACCTGAGGTCAACTTTTGAACTTGACCTTTCGAGGTCATATTATATACCATTCGATGCGCCTTGACGAGCTAAGAACGATGGTGTGTGGATTATTTCTCTATCTCTTTGGGAAGAAAAGTTATTGCAGAAAAAGCATTTCCGGAAAATTTGCAATATTGATCTGACATTACATGACCTCTATAGGCCGAACCGTTGACCTTAGGTCAAATCTGGGGACAGCTTAGCGAAAGAGCGTTTCAACAACTATCGAATGCTTTTTTTCGCAACTTTCTAGCTCATCTATTTCCCGAGATAAAGCGGGAAATATGGAGGGATGTCGAGATCGCTAAAATATCGCAACATTTTGAGTTTGGTGACCTCTGCTGACCTCGTTTTTTACCTGACCCAAAAATGATCTTAGTATTTCTTGTAGATCTCATCTCAACCTATCCAACGCCGTTTACCGCTTGTCGCTACGTTGCGCCATTTTCGAGATCTCAGGGGGGGTTGTTTTCAACCCCCCCCCCCCCTGCAGTTCGTGTTCGGCTCAGACACGCTGCAGTGCGCGTGTTAGCTGGAGCACCACCTCTAACAGAATTACAAATCATTCTGCCATCGCGCCGTCTCGCTGTCAGTCCACCTACCTGGCTCCAGGACCACGTCCACCATGAAGCGGTCCGTGGCCGAAGCTCCGTGAGGGCCCACCGCTCGCACGGAGACGATGTGGGGACCGAGATCAGACACCAGTGGCACACCAGAGAAGGTGCGCCGAGCGGCATCAAACGTCAGCCAGCGGGGCAGCGGGCTGCTGCCCTTGGCGCCGCCAACCTGCCGATGGAGGGATTGATGGTCAGTGGTGTAAAATAACTCATCGACAGACATAGAAAAACACGGCGCATCACAACTGCTGGGGCTAACGGATTCAGACTCAGCGGTGAACACTGAACATGATAAAGCCGAGGCAATTTACCTCCTTATGTTCTGAGCAACGGACACTGCAAATAAACCACCAAAGCCGGTAACATATTCCGAACGCTGAGACACCTGTGTCAAGCCTGTGCTCCGTAAACAGACACAGGGGCGTAGGCAGGGGGGGGCCACTGGGCCATGGCCCCCCCCCCCCCCTTGGGCGCCCTTTGCGATTGGAGGGCGCCGAAGGCGCCCTCCAATCGCGAATGCAATTGTGATAGAATCGAATCGAAAAACAATCGCGACTGGATACGTAAGCCTATAGGATCGCTGCCTTCCTGCCCACTGGTGCCCTCATTTGATCGGTGTACTCCTACCTATTGGTGCTCTCCTGTAAATAGGCGCCCTCTCACCCGAAGGCGCCCTCCTGTAGGTCGCCACCCTGCTACACATTGCAACCCTTCTGCTGGTCGGCGCCCTCATAATTATTGGCGCCCTCCTGCCTATTGCGCCCTCATGTGAAATTTTGATGGCCGCCCTCCTCCCTTTTGGCACCCTCTTGTTGAGTGCCGCCCTTCTAGCCATTGGCGCCCTCCTACCTATTGGTTTCCTAGTCCCTCCTGCTGAATGCTAATCGGGGCCCTTCTACCTATTGGCGCCCTCGTGTTGATCGCCGCCCTCCTAACATCTGGCGCCCTCCTGTTGATCGCCGCGCTCCTATCCACTGGCACCTTCCTGTTAAATCGGCGCCCTCCTCACAGACGCCCTCCTGTTCAATGTCATCCTCTTGGGCAAAGGCGCCCTCCTCACCATTGCCACCCTCCTGTTAATCGTCACCCTTCCACTCATTGGCGACTTCCTGTTGATGACCGCCCTCCTACCCATTGGCGACCTCTTGTTGATCGCCACCTTCCTATCTATTGGTTTGGTGCTCTCCTGTTCCTTGCCGCCCTTTCACCCATGGTGGCACCCTCCTGTTGATTGTTGATCGGAGCCTTCTTGCCTATTGGCGCCCCCCTTTTGATCGCCGCCCTTCTACCCATTGGCGTCCAAGTTTCGGTGATTGAAGGTGCTCAACACTGTATGCATCTGTGAGAAGGACATGAGGGCTGGTCGAGGTAATTTGGATGAGAAGCCCGAGAAGGCTAATCGATCTCATGAGAAACAGCCCTGTTATGGTTTCTCTTTCTGTTGTTGCCGCCTTCTCGTTGTGCGCTTGTGTTTACGCACCTCGCGCTCCGGTATCAATCCGAAATGGTGATCTGGTGTGTATGCCACCGCCAATATACTTCTCTACATCGTCACCCATGGGCGAAGCTTTCTATACAGCTTGTGTGGCACCGGCCCCACCAAATCTTAGGTATTTTTTACACCTTAAAATTTGGTAGTTAAAAGAGCGGGAAGAGCTTTGAACAGTGAGCACGCAAAAGATGTGCCTAAAAAGCGGAGGAAAAGGTTGTTTTCAAAAATTTCGCGCGCCTTCGGCGCAGCATTTCACAAACTCATCTTTACTAGGAACTTAGTACCTATGCCAATAACTTGCAACCTTTTTGTCACGTGTGAGATGAACCCGCGCCAGGAGGTTTCTTCAGACATGCGGTTAAAAAAGATCCGAAAAAGATGCCACTACGTTACGAGCTTCCGTTTTTTTCCTGGGGGAGAGAGGGAAGTGGGTGAGCGGGAGGGGCACACCTTTTGGTTATACATTGCTCTTACACGTGCTCTAAAAATGCAAACCATAGTCGCTAAAAGCAAGGTCATTAGGTCATGTCAAGTGATCTAACTTAAAAATAGTTTTAAGCATTGTCACTTAAGCTGAGCGGGTGACTTGACCTTTTTTGGCCTGGAGTAAAAACAAAATACACACGATGCCAAATCAATGCAGCATAACCTATATACCAAGTCACGCAAAAAAAAACTGGTGGCGTGGTAAAAAAACGCCTCCACCCCCCCCCCCCCGCTGAGCGGATTTTTATCTCGCGACCGTATGGCGCCCTCCTGGGGTGAGGTGGCGCCCTCCAAACCCTTGGCCCCCCTCGCGATTTTCTAAATACGCCGCTGAACCCAGTGACACCAGTGTCATTCACGCGCTGCGTAATCGGAAACCTCAAACCAACATCATCCGTGTCCACCGTAAGCCGAGAACTGAGTCATCCATGAGTAAGGTAATCGAACGCCGCTGCCCACCATGCAATGTTGCAACCCTCGCCCGCCCGTGTACTGCCCGGTGGCCACTCGGTTCCTCCCCGCAGCGGCCGCCCTGCGGAACGGGGAGCGTGACAGAGCAGCGGCACGTGCCCTGCGGTCAGCCGTCGGCGGCCGCCGGCCTGGTTGGCACGTGGCCAGACTGGGGGTCACGGGTGACAGCTATGACGGTGGGTCAGTCGCCGGCGGCAGACTCAGTGAACGCGCAGCGCTCCGTCCCAGCCACCGGCAGCCACCAGCTGACCATAACACACCGCCCAGCCCCGGCGGTCGGCGCTCCAGCCCGGCCGGCGGCGATCGATACCAGCTGCCGCCACCTCCGCCCGGCCAACCAATGACAGAGTCCACGGCGAGAGCGGCCCGAGGGCTGCTCGGCGCGGCGCCGACTCAGAGGCCGCCGCTGTCACCGCGGCCGTAAGCGACCTGTTTGATTGTGACCTGTCATGCCCGCAGGGCGTCCACGGGACATCTACAGAAGTCTGCTGGAAAAGACGTCTCCTACCATCTACGCTGACTGCTGAGTCCTTTAAAGTGCTTCACTCCCTTCAATAACCCGGTTTACATAGCATTTTTGACGAGGCTCTAGCTTGTTAATTTGGCGATAATTTCGATGCAGTGGTCTTCAAATATTTAGAGGGGATCATTTTGTAAATTGTGAAGCACCATTGGCATCTTTTGCAACATCACGGACGGAGATATAAGCTTGCAACAAACCCTATGTAAACCGGGTTAATGTTTCACATTACGACGATAAGTGGTCAGTCAAGTTCTTCGATAGATATGAGAGAGAAAAATGAGCATAAAACCAGTTATTTACGGGAGTGCTCGTAAACTCAATATTCTGATGTAAGATATGGATGACAACCAGCCGTCTTCTGCTTACAAGTATCTAAATCAACAAACAATAAACAAAGTTCGGCTCTAGGGTTAGTTGTATGCATACCTACATGCAAGGTTAAGAAAACAGTAAAATTGGGGCCGGCGAGCAAGACATATCGGCAGCATTTACATTCACATGGGCCACGTCCCAGAAAATCAGTCCCTCTACAATCTCCATCTATCAACCCTTGCGGGTAGACAGAGTTCAAAAGAAGCCGACGCACAACAGGGTCAAAAACCATCCCACAAGTCTTTGTAAATAGCGACGCGAGTGCAGCCTGCGCAGTGCGCATTGTTCGTAGATTGCGCGGCTCCACGGAACCGCTCTTAAACCATCCAGCAGAAAAAAAAACGACCGAAAAAGTCCACTGTCTGTGTTCTGCGTGTATCAGCGTTTGTAGGTCGGGAATGGCGAATGTCAACGTCAATGTTCGTGTCATCGGCTTCTGACCGCTGGACCACCGAACGGGCCGCTCGCCAGGCGTATAAACATCAAACGCACGAGTCGGCAGTTTGGCGGACCGGCGGACATAGTTCAGAGCACGGGGCGCCTGCAAAAACGCTGCTCGGAACCGCAGGGCGGCCCCGCTGCTCGTGAGGCCGCGACCGCAGCTTTTGTGTTCTCATAGAGGGTACAGTCACGGGCCCGAACATGGCGGCGGGCTCTTGCATCCAGCAACGGTACCTCTTAGAACTGGGCGACAGAAGACAGGCCTTCATCCGACCGCGTCCAGCCAGCGGGTTCCCATCTGGCACTGACTGGGTTCAGTCTGCGGGATCCCATCCGACTGGGTCCCGCCGATAAAGTTACATCTGGTTGTGCGACAGCCTGCCTGACAGTTTGTAGCTGACTGTGCTGGCAGTCTATCGCTGACTTTTTCTAAAAGTTCGCCGCTGAGTGTGCTAGCAGTCCGTCGCTAACTGTTCTGACAGTTTGTCTCTGACTTTTCTGGCAGTCTGGCGCTGACAGTTTACCGCTGACTGTTCTGACAGCCTCACTGTCGTCAGCCGGGGGCCAGGAGTGCAGTGTGCTGGCGCACCCGGCTGCCTAGTTTACAGTGCAAACCTACACACCGGAGGTCGGTCGGCCAGTCACTCGGCCCACAGGCCATAGGGCAAGTGCATTCCGTCGACCAGAGGCCACTGTCGCCAGCCAGGCAGGCCGAGCTACTGGACGGACCGGCAGGTCGAGGACAGTTCAGGGCTAACAGGTTCGATCATTATTGCGTTAGAGTGCAGTGAGGTCATCATTGCGTTAGAACGCGATATCACCCAGGTGGTGCTCTCAGTGTCCTGCCAGCTCAGGCCGGCGACTCGGAGCCTGGAGGGACGGGGCAGGGTCACGCGCGCCGTGCCGGTCACCCGAGTCTGACTCACGCAGGAAACGACTCTGCTCCCGCAGCTGGCCAGTCCACTGCGGTCGGTGGACGACGGGGCAAGTCCACCCGCATCCGGGCGAGCAGCGAACAATGCAGGGGTGATTCAGTTCAGATAGACTAGCCTGACATAACTAAAAACTTAAAAGGATTTCTCTCGACTGATAATGACATCAGTGTTTCCGTTTGAGTGGACTTCCATCAATTCAAAAAATAACCCTTGATCAATTGCATCATAAGTTCACAGTTTTACGAGGGATTAGCTAGAAACTAGCACGACTAGTGTATGACCTGGCCAGGTAGGATCTTCGTGGGTAGCATGGTTTAGCAGCTAGTTCCTAGCGTTGATTAGCTGGTGACTAGCCAATCGATAGCATACCTTTAATGAAGAGTTATGCTGTCTCAAATGCATAATTTCACATTTTGCAGGCCGCCTCCATATTTGAATAAGCTCCTGAGCGATGGCTTATGAAACGATCGCATCAGAGCCATATTTCTAGTCCATCAATCATGAGCTATGAAAGTTTGATATTAAATCCTCGAACTCGCTTCATGTAGGAAATATCGCAAGGAAACGAGGGCGGCGGGGAAAACTCCCTTTGTCCTGAGCTTAGGGCAGCTGCTACCATATTCATGTGCACTAACTACGAACTGGTGCTACATGCAATCCATCCGGCCGGCTCGTCTGCATGTCGGGCACGTATTTCATCTGACCTCGCCGTCGGCTGTCGTTAGACGCCCCCTCCTCGCTAACGGCACCATCTTCTCGGAGCAGAAGGCTGTCTGAACGCGAGACGAAGGGGCCCCGGCGGCCCGGGACTGCCGCCCGCAGACACCCATCGCCCACAGAGCGGAGCTCAGCGAGATGGAACGCTGAATAACAGACGATTGACGGCTGATGCAATGGTTGTTGAAAATGCACACTTCATCAGCGCAGCATCGATCCGATTGAATCAATCGGCTGTCAGATGATCCGAAGAACAGCAGCAAAGAGTGGCTCTTGAACGTCGCGTTAAGTACCCACTGACGATCCCCTCTGGTGTCCGCTTCCGAGGGCCATCGGCGGGCCAGCCCCGTTCGACGACAGTCCTCTGTCGGCCGGGACCGACGCGGGAGAATCGGTGGGCAGAGCCCGAGCAGCAAACCCTTCCGGGAACGGGCAGCGGCGACCGTCTGCTCGTGGCAATGGCCCGTGTCGGCGCAGTGGAGCGGGAAGGGCGCCGCTGCGACCGGCCGGCCCAGGGGTAAACCAAACCAACATGGGCTATCGCTGGGTGCCTCCCAACGCCGCTGCGACCGGCCGACCCAGGGGTAAACCGAGATCGGCTGTCGCTGGGCGAACCCACTTCACCCGGAGGGGGCGTACTGCAGCGACCCGTGTACGACAAAACGAACCACTTCGAACACGGGGGTCGCACCGGCACGACATGGAGACAACGGAAGTTACCACTCGGGTCACATGGGCCGGACAGAGGCGACACGTGTACGACGAAATTGGTACTGCCGTGACCCGTGAACGACGCAATTGCCCACTTAGGAGCACAGAGGTCGAGCTAGCACGACCCGAATACGACGGACACTGAACAGTCTAGACACATGCGGCAGGAAGGGGCATTGCGAGGTCGCAGTGGTAGAACACTTCGTGCGACCTCATGTGACATATCACGCAAACTACGGTATACCACATAATCTATGGTACTTGGCAGTCGCAATCGCATCGACTTATCCAAAATACTTCCAGTTTACCTAGAATGATGAGGAAAGACTGATCAGCGATCAGCTATGGATGAGTTTTGCTTAAATGAAGCTGGCGTTAGAAGCTGACGACTTGAAAAATAAAATATTGAAAAATGCATGTCGCATAAATGTACAGTCACGCATTATTTTGTGACGTCACTTCTTCCAACGCGGAAAACGAAACGCCGAACTCAAAGATATGTGGTGAGCAGTGAGCATACAAAGTTGTAGCTTGGGTATCAGGCCGGAATCAGCTACTTGCTATCTGATTTCAAGAACCCACGATAAAGAGCTCTCGAGAGCCTGTCTCGTCGGAAGTGAAATCGGCCATCCCAAACACCGAGCATCTAGCATTGCTTGCTTCACCAGCACTCCAAACCAGATCCAGACAACAACAACTATCTATCAAGAGGCGGCACTATCAAAATACAGCTAACTAAGTACAACTATCTATCAAGAAGCGACTCTGTCAAAATACAGATAACTAAGTGTCGAAAAAATGGACATACTGGAATGACGCAACAAACAATGGTACAGAAATAGTAGGTCAACTATTATCATCTGCAATCCCGTTTTTAGCAAAATAAAAATGAAATGCTCAAAGTAGAAATGTGGGTCATGCCATTTGGCAGAGCGCGATCCTCATCTACCGGCCGCTAATCGGCGGCGAAAAGCCTCAGCCAAAGAAACCGTGACTGTTCACACTCATGAAACCACTCGACCAAGAGTCTCCTTTTCGTATGTTCCGTCAACATAAACACAGTCACAAAGCGGCGGACGCTGCCGTTGGCAGGCCGCCCCTGACCGTCGCGACTGAGGGGCGCTTCACCCGACCGTCCCGTGCCAATGGCAGTATCCGGAGGCCGGCGGAGCGGCGCTGCGCAGCTCTGAGGGGCCCGGTACTCACCTCGAAGCGCTCCACGGAGCCCTGGAAGGCGTCCCTGTCGATGGCGTGCACGAACAGTCGTCCAGCGCGCGCGGTAGCGTCCGATACACCCCACAGCCGTTTGAGGGGGTCCGTGTCTAGCCGGACGGGGCCGCTGAAGCCCAGGTCGTCAGTGCCGTCTGTCCGCACGTGCTCCTGGTCTGAGATCGGCGGCACGCTCAGGACGCGGCCGGCTGACGGGTCGGCGCCGGTCAGCGCAGCGGTCGCCGACGCCGCCAGTACGGCCAGTGTCAGCAGCGGCAGCTGCAGCAGCCGCGGCGGCGGCGACATGGCGGCACTCACCGTCTGAGAAACAAAAGCAGAAGTTAGCCACGCCACAAAAGCATCAGAGCGGTAACACATCTTTCAGACATTTCACGAACACGTCAGACAAGTCAAAGAACCTAAAAGGCAGAATACATGGACGTCTTAACTCGTCTGACCTTTGAAAAATCGTTTAGGCTAATGCTGAGTGGTCTCTAGAGGAACATGACACGGACGGATGTAGATCGGATCGATTGCCGCTACAGACAGACCTAATCCCCGACTGGGCTGCGGCGCGGACGACTATAGCACCATAATACGTGTCGGTACAGACCGAGGTAGACTGTGTCGGTACAGACCGAGGTACAGACTGTGTCGGAATAGACCGCGTCGGTGCCGGGCTGAGGAGTAACATGGGCGGTTCGTTCCACTGCCGATAAAACATGATTTAATGCCTATCAAGATGACAAACACCATTCCATTGATAGCCCAGCAGCGATAGGTGTCATACGCTTCCGACTACAGGCACGGTGAGTCCGGTTGACGAATTAGTAAAACACTCATGAGCCGACGGATCTACGTGCCAGTAGGCCAATCTGGGACGACGCTGGGGGTTTCGTCGCCGCCGCTAGGCGGTCGACGGGCGACCGGCGGGGCCGGTGTTCCAAATTCAGATCGGGGCGGCGCCGACATAGGCACCGATGACGGCGCGGAGGCCGGCGCAGCACGCCGAACACTACTGAGGAATCCCAGCTATCCACACACCGAGATTCCCGAGTTCTGTCCGGGACAGTGTTGGCGCACCGCCCTACCGCGCGGCGATGGCCGTCTCACGGGTCAGATAGCTGTATGTTGGAGCTGAGCATCGGCCTAGTAGCTAGCATGGACATATTGGACAACCAAACCGTTCTGTAGCACAATAAAGGTGATACTGGAAAGTCAAAGGACCGTCGGATGCAGGGAGACATTCAGGTCTGGCCCGGCTCTTTGAGAGACGTGCAGCGCTGTTCATAAGACCTCAAGACGCCACTGCAATTCATCAAAGGCCAACGACGGAACTGGCAGCCAATCTTGCAGAGTGAACAACAAACTACAGCGTCTGCAAAAACAACTGCCCGTCAGAAGTGACGCCATCTACGGAACATTGTACAATGACAAACCCACCGTACAATGACAATTCAAAGAAAAGGTCATCGCGTCGTCATTGCATCACTGCACTGTCTCGCAGCAAGGGTCGCCGTGACGTCACTGCCAAAGTGACTCGGTTACTTTACAGACACTGTTTCAAGGACTGTCACCGCGGCGCCAATGTCTCAGTGACTCGGTCCCATCAGTGACTCAGGTATTCCGCCAGCACTGTCCCAGTGACTCTCCACTCGGTCACCGCTCCGTCACTGTCTCAGACAGGGTCACTGTCATCACTGTCTCAGTGACTGGGTCACTGCGCCGTAACTATCCCAGTGACTCGGTCACCGCTCAGTCACTGCCCCAGTGACTCGGTCACCGTGCCGTCACTGCCCCAGTGACTCGGTCACCGCACCGTCACTGCCCCAGTGACTCGGTCACCGCACCGTCACTGCCCCAGTGACTCGGTCACCGCCTGCACCAGCAGCTGTCGGTCGCTGCCAACGACAACAGCGTCGGCCTTCGCGTCGGCCCGTCGGCCCACTGCCGTGCCGTCGTCCGACAGGGATCGCCTCCGACGGCTCGAGCCAGCCAGGGCGTCGGCACGCGCCGGTGTTAGGATACCAGAGCCGGCACTGAGGTTAAAGTGCCGGTACCCGCTGTGTGATGTGTATCTACTGGGATACCAGAGCAGTGCCGGCATAAACCGAGTCTATTTTAGGATGATAGTAATAGCACTGCCAGCAGTTCTACCATGGTACTTGCAAGTATCGGACTCAACCGCAGCTTTACCAGAGTGTCTAACTCCGTTCCAGTCACGGCTGTGCAAGGGTACCGGGTAGTACCGGTATATGTACCGAACAAGTCTCCCTAACGGCGTCTCAGCACAGCTACCGACCGCATCTCTCCCAGCTCTCCGGCTGCGGACCGCGGCGGCCGTCTGTCCGACCGCCGTCCGCAGACCGAGCCGGCGAGCGCGGCAGCGCGCCCATCGCATCTCGGGCCGCCCGCACACAAATGATTCAATGAAAGTCTTTGCTGCTCCCATCATCCACTTGCCAGAAGTCTGTGCCCGGCGGCTTTGTGTGCAGCCGGCTCGGTGCGGAGCCCGGTCCGGACAGACATCCTCGTCATTCGGTCATCGGTGTCACCCTGACGAGGGTTGATCCATTCCTTACGCACAAGCTGCTATTGTAGAGGCCAAATCATCTGCCACGAAAAAAGGGACGTGGGCTGGTGACTCTGCACTGTAGACAGGAGAGCCACGAGAGCAATCGGAGCTTGGACGGTCGCCGTCGCCTAGAAACGGCTTAGAATGGAGACAACGAAACTGGCTTGACCTCAAGCGGCCGATGGAAGAATTATACAATTGACTCAATCAATTCAACGCACCGGCTCAGTCCTCTGATCGGCCCTGGTGGTGCAGATGGTAGGGCGTTTGTTCGGGGTTCGGAAGGCCTCGGGTTCTATCTCCAGTGCCGCCCAGCCCCCGGACGCGTCCCTGCTTCGCCACCAGGCGCGGTGACCGGTGACAGAGCTCACCCAGTAATTGGGCAAAATGGTCTGTTGGGGAAAGGAAGCAAAAAAGGTCCATATTGTGGACCAGAAATGACTGTATATATTAACAGGAAAAATGGATTGGAAAATTCAAGGCCGGCGCAGGCCGCGGGTAAGTACTAACGCTATTATCATAAACTCGTCCACGGGCCAGGGATATCACTCTGTTCACCATTGAGGACCCGGATTAGACACCATAATATCCATATTTGACCTGTAGAGCTATGAAACTAAGAAGCTTGTGTTGGAAAGCCCTTTAGATCGTGGGTTACAATCGGGTTGCCCAAGGCCAGCCAACTTTACATAACAATGTGAAATTTAGATCTAATAAAAGTAAGTCACGCACGGAACTGGAGGCTCGCTTTTGATAAATCATGCACCCAAAGTCACGTTTAGCGTGAACCAGGGTCTGCTTATCCGACAGATAATCACTGCGAATAAGTTTTGTTACGTAAATCTACGAATTTCTTTATCAATTTTGGTGCTTAAAAATATAAGTTTAAGTTTATAAAACCGTTGCCAGGGGAGGAAAAGAACTATAACGTAAACATAAAATTGACTTGCTAAACAATCGGTGAGCTGGGGCGACGAGGTGGGACTGTTAACAGAACCATCGGGCCCGCGAACGGCAACTTCAGTTTGTTTATCGCGCGGCAGTCAGCCGTCAGAAACCATTTATCAATAACACACTGCAGTACCGGCCCCAGGGATCAGGGATCAGAAGCCAGATATCAATAACACACCGCAGTGTGAGCGCCAGCCCCCGGGATCAGGAACCAGTTACCAATAGCACACTGGAGTGCTGCCCTCAGGGATCAGGACCGCATGATAACACTGCAGTGTCGACACCAGGGATCGGAAGCCAGTCACCAATAACGACTTGCAGTGACAGCCTCAGGGGGCAGACCTCCGGGAGGCTAACACCATACAATGCCGGTTCTAGGGATCGGCACTCGGTAGTCCTACAGTGCCCCCAAGCAGTGCTCGGCCGGACGAGAGGAGCACGCTAAGCGCTCTGAGACCGCGCCCAGCCCAGCTCAGCTGAGGAGCGCCGACCTGACGGACGTACGGACCGGACGACCCGCCCGACGGCCGTATTCGGTGTCAGCCGGCCGGCTCAGCGGCTGGCCCAGCACCTGTGGCAGGAGACGGACGGGTGCTCCCTCCCGACGAGACAGAGCAGACCACCCGCCGGCGGGCCCGCCGTCTCCGGGCGATCATCGTGGCTTACAGCTAGTCCGATAGCGCGACCGATAAGCAGTCTGCACGTTCGCGGGCCGATGGGCCCCGGGGCGACGGAGCCGGCGGTCCCCGTCGGTGCCGGCGGCTTAGTGACGTCATCGCTCGGCCCACATGGCGCGCGGCCAGTGGGCGGGGCCAAAAGTCTGCCGTGCGGTCGAAACCCCACTGAATGCCGGTGTGGGCACGTTACGCACGCGGACGGCTGCCGGCCGTCGCCGCCGCCGCGACCGGAAGGCGCAGCGCTGGTAATGACGTCAGACAGCGGTCGGGCAGTGACGTCACTCGCTACACAGATAGTGACGTCATCTGCACACCGCGGGGAGGGCGGCGATTACTCAGCGGTGTGTCGACTGAGTCAGACTCGCGCACTGCCGGAACAACCGAGCACTGCCGACAGGCCGTCAGCACGGTCTCACGGGCCGCACGACTGCGCTGATAACCAACCAGCGGCGCCACTCGGTCCACAGCGAGCTGGGCACGCCTGCGCCACTCTGTCCTCGGCGAGAGTTGCCAGACACAGCCGCCTGCTGTACCGTGACATGGACTACCGAGCGAGTGACCGGCCCAGAGACAGACAGACCACCAGACAGGCAGACCACGCAGAGCCATTGACACCGCTCCAACACCAAAACAAAGCTCAACATTCCAAACACCTGACATTTACGGAAAGCACTTACGGCAAAAAATAATCAATATTTTTGCACGCAAGACCTCCAACAAAATCCAAAACTTGAGCTAGCGCATCTAAGCTTTTCAGCGCCGGAAGAGTTACAAAAATCGAGAAGACGGCGGAGCCTCGGTTGGCTCGGTCGGCTGGCAGCATGCGACTGCAGGCAGCAGAGCACTGTACCTGTGCCAGGAGCAGAGATCCCGCTACAACCACCCGTCGACGGCTCCGACTCGGCGCTACTGGCGGTCGGCCGCCCGCGGCGCCGGCCCACCAATAACTCGACCCGCCGCCGCCAGAGGCGCTGACATCGACTCGGTGCACTGCAAACACCCGGCGCTTCATCTGGGAATCTAGGGTTTTGAGCAGGGCAGATTTCATCGGCTAAAAACTGAAAAGTCGCGCTAGTTGAGCCAACTGTGGCCCCATGCATCCTGGTTTTGAGAATTAATTCCATTTTTAATATCTTGGGAATCAAGCAGCGCACACGCGCCCTGGAGTAGGGGTCTAATCCAATTTGGAAAGGGTGAGATAGGAGAAGGTCGTTTTTGGCCACACCCCATTGTCTATAAAAATCGAAAGGCAAAGACGATTGAAAGCTCTAAGCGAGTACTTTCAGAAGCTTTTCAGAAGCTTTTCGGTCAGGTCAATACTGCGGTCTCTGCTGCCTGCTGGTCATCACAGGTCAAAGTTACCCGACCTCATATTTGAATAAATCGGCGCATAATTCGTGAATTAGTTGCGAAGAAGTGCATTCAATAGCTCATTCACTAACGTCTCCTCAGATTTCACCAAGGATTTCACCGATGATCAGCGGTTTGTCCTCCATGTTGTAAAACCACATTCAAGCGACATTTTTCTTCTTTTTCGCAAAAAAAAAGTGGCACAAAGCTTATACATCAATTTTACAGGCGTCGTGTTTCTCCCGTCGGAGCGCAACCAGTGTATTATAATTTGGCCCTAAACGCCAACTAGCAAATTTCACATAAGCTAACTGCAATAAACTGAGCGTAAAATATCATGTTGAATGTCAGACGATCCATACGGCTACCGCTTACGTGTACTTTGTTTTCATCGCTCTTAGCTCTAGCACGTCTCTATGAAATCACTTTCGAAAAACTGCTTTTGACCTTTGGTGACCTAATTAATATGACCTTTCGAGTGACCGCTACCTATCCTCAGGCATCATGTGCATATCAATCATTCGTGCTTATTCCCTATTATGCCTTAAAAAGTGGCCACCGGTCTCGCTTTAAGAGTCGGATAGCCTCCTCCTCGCGAGACTGACGAAATGTAAGGATTTTCGGATGTCACCTGAGGTCAGGTCGGTCATGTGACCCCATAGTATCAGTGGGGGAAATATGAAAACTGTTCGTTGGCTCCCAAAATGATCTACGGCTATCTAAAGCACACAGAATCGTCATGATGTTAACTTCTTACAACGCAAAATCTAAGTTTTGCACTATAGTATAAAAATATCGCAATATGATGATGACATCATAACTGAGTTACCTAATGTCTCTAAGATCTCCCGAGGTCATAAGAGTTTTTCATCAATCACTTGCAATCTAGGCCGGCTAGTTGGAAAGCCGCCAATGGACTCAAAAAATCTGTCAATTCGCATGATTACGACCGAGCGAGCGCAGCGAAGTCTTTTCAATATAACGGAAAAATCTCAGTATGAGCGGCCCGACCTGGCCCGGCCTGTAACGCTTTTAAGAGGCTTATGACTCGGCAACCGCTGGGCCGATTGACATGCGGTCTTTGTTGTTGGGTAGCCCCATCTCTTCTACCTTGTGGTTGACTATTATTGACGCATCTAGGTGACCGTCGTGGCACGTGCCACGTGAAAAGCCAAGGATGTTCAAGCTGTTCTACAGAATTAGCACTTTTGGGAGACCTATATCTCGGTAATTGCTGAGGTGATTGACTTGCAGTAATTTTTGTAGGGTGGTTGCATCCCTTCTACTAAACATCGGATACTCTCGGTGCATGTGAGTCACCCCACGTGCAAAATGCAACAATAAGAGGTGTCAAATTTGTTCCCATTACAATCACTCTGAAATTACTGGGACGATTTCACTGAAACTTGGCATACAGGTAGGCGCCCACTACCCAAGCCATTCCCATGTGTTACGGCTAAGGTGCTTCTGCATGTGCGTACGTGCAGGGGACGTTTACAGATCTCGAGAACGGCTGGGTTGATTGCTCTCAAATTTGATTAGCAGTTAGGGGCCGGTTGGTAGAGTGCCTTGCAAAAGTCACTTTGGACCCAGTTTGCACGTGCGCGCGTGCAGGGTGTCGCTTCCAAGTTCCAGATCTCGGGAACGGCTAGGTGGATTGCCTAGTTCAAATTTGGAACACACCAAATTTGGCGGCAATTTGGCTAGCGATCGGTTAGGAGGGTGCTTCGCACAAACCCGTTGGAAGTGCCCCTCGCCCTTCCGCAAGTGCAGGGGTTAATTCCAGATCTCGAGAACGGCTGAACTGACTGCGCTGAAATTTGGTATATGGTTAGAGACCGGTTAGTAGGTTTCCATGCAAAGGTCAGTTGGGACCCATTTTCAACGTGCGCACAAGCAGGGTGCCACTTTCAGATCTCAGAACAGCTAGACTGATTGCACTCAAATTTCAATTTGGCACATTGCTAGAGTTGTTAGAAGGGTACCGTACCTACACAAGTCAGTTGGAGGTACCCCTCACAATATCGCACGTGCAAGGCTTGCCCTCTCGCTCGCTCCGTTTGTCGCCCTATAAGGCCCTTTACTGGTTTTTATTGAATTTCCCGAAAAATCGAGCAGCTCAACCTGTCATTCACATGCCATATTCCTTATGTTTCACTTCGGAACACTGCACTGGAAGTCATGCTACCAACTACCAACTTGAACCGCCATCAAACATTTGTAGGTACTAGTACGACCTAAGCCGCAGTTCTATTATTTGTAGATATATAACAAATCCTGAATTATTTTTAATAAATACCTACCTATTTCGAACCCTACCTTGCAGCGCGGCGCGCCAGCTTCCGGCATCAGCGCGCCGCGATTGAAACGCGACCCAGCATTCAAGGATTGCGCTAATTGCGCTAATGCACAGAAATCTGTTGACGTCAGAGGAATTAAACTGTTTTATTTGTAGGAAGCCTTGTTTATTGGTTGCAAGGCCGATTGGCTGCAATTTGCAATTTAACTTTAGTTATACAGACTGTATATTTATGAATCTGTCTGCAAAGCCCTAAAACATATTAATATCTATTAATAATGTTGGACGCAAGAGCCAAGTTGCTACGCGCCCTAACCCACAACAACAACAACACATCTATGAATAAAAACTAATAAAATTTCAATCAATAAGTTAAAAAACTTTTGTTTCAGCCATCACATCCGTTAAAACTGTTGTTGACGATGCTCAGTACTCAGTTACAGCACCTAAACCACTGAACTCTATAATGAGCCTCCTAGCCCTAAATTATTCCTCACTAACGTCACTAGAGTTAGCGTTTCATACTTTCTGATATTCTGTATCCCTTACCTTGGATAATGCGACTTACAATTTACATAGCAATGTGCATTTATTTTGGTGTGTGTTGGGCGTGTGTGGTGGCCTGGGTGTTAGGATTGATTAAGCACTTATTGATTTAGATATTTGTGTTGATTGATATTGATAGACATATTTGTGTTTATGCGTATGGTGTGCCTGTAGACGGCATTGTTCTCCGGCAGAACAATAGGGACAATACAAATACATTAGAAATTGGAACAAAAAGCATGGAAAAATTGACTGGGTACTGCATGCACCTATCTTGATCTCGTCCTCATACAATGACTTAGAATGTGCTGTTTTCTTTTCACGTCTGAGAGACATAGGGTCTGTTCCCATCGCTCCTCCCAAAAAATCTCGGATGAGGTTGGATGAGCTTGGAGGAGAGCCGTATCAGAGGAGCCACGGGAACATTTTTGCGAGGAAATCAGCTGTTTGCGGGCTGTAACAGTCGGCGTTTTATGGTGTGCAAACTTAAATCTAGAGATAATAATCGCTTTCTAATAACAAAGCCATAGATAAATAGCGAATATTACTATTAAAAGATATCACGTCCTCATCGATCACTAAAATCATTTCCACTTCCCTGAAATCTCATTTATAAACAATTCACATTTGTATTACATGCCCCAAATATGTCTACGCAGAGCCTCCTCTGAAAATCCAACTTTCGTTTGGGATGAGGGAGGAGGCAAATAGTGGTGGTGAGATGTGTAATGAATATGAGCTTGGAGGAGCTTGGAGGAGCGACGGGAACAATTTTTTAAACGAGAGGAGGTTAGAGGAGCTTGGAGGAGGTTAGAGGAGCGACGGGAACAGACCCATAGGTAACCAAAACCTAATTGTAACCAATGAGGTTTATCTGAGGTGCTGTTATTGCTAGTTGGTAGGTCACACTTGGGTCACACTCAGGGAGCAATTTCAATTCGCTTGAGCTGAACTGTGGTAAGTTACTCCAGACTGTAAAATATCCATGTTACCATCAGCATGTCTGGCCTAGCAAGCAGATTGCACCAAAATTTTGGCGCAGTGTCTATGGTAACTGTGGGATGAAATTTTTTGGCATGAGCGGACGAAGAAATTTTGGTATGAATGGATGATTGAAGATATTTCAGCGCAAGGTGATGAGATCTTAGCTTATTTCAATTGCTACACTCTAATTAGAATCACAAATCCGAGTTCATGACTGACGGGGATGTAATGTTCATTGAAGGCCACACACCTGAGCCCCCCAGGTTGACGTGATAGCCCTTGGAGACTGGTATAGAGACGTCGACTGGACTGGTTGATCTACAGGCTCCTACACGCTGAAGTTATGTCGAGTGCAGACCGTACCAAGTTAGGCGACTGAGGCTCGAGAAAACTGATGATCCTGATGAGTTGGTGTGACAGGGCGCACCGCCAATTAGGCTACAAGTATATCACGCCCAGGCGGCCCATATCTAACCTTTATTTCTCAAAGTCAAAAGTTGAAAATTACCTGAAGCCTGGAGGTCATAATGAACATAAAAAGCGAGAGGAGTAGTAAAGAGGGAGTTGTCACCGAGAAGAGTTCTTAACGAGAGCTGGGGCAGTGTTGAACTGGAGATGAGGCCGCTTTCTGGTCCCGGCATTTTATTCTCCGGGTGGTTTAGCCCCGTCTGGTGCTTAGCCTTTCAGGACCTCTCAGAGCCGCGGTTATTTTCGCCGCTCGGCCCATTCGAGATGCAAAGTTGATAGTCAC